CAATCAACATTGTAAGTATAACCCGCATCCTGCAACTGTCACCAAGTCATTTATATGTTTCGTTTTCTATCAATAGGAATTATTGGATTCTGTAAAGCAAACACATTTCATATATTTTTAATTAATTCTAATGAATAGTAGTAGGTATCCATCTCTTGTTCTCATAAACAAGCCAGTCCAGCTGGGAAAATACCACCCTCAAAATGACTTTTAAAGTGTTTTTTCCTATTAGGGTAAAATTTCTACTAGAATCATACATTGTACTATCCTTGAGGTACCTATAACTTGTTCATTGAAAAAAAGTAAAAATAATTCCTATAAGTACCCTAATGGTACCCTCTTAACATCTTTGCAATCGTAAAAAATAGATATGTTTGTCTAAGCAAATTTTAAAACGTACATAATATATACTAACATTTCACACGTGACATATGTAGGTATAGTGCATAAGTGTATACTAAGTTACTAATGTATAAGGTATGTTTTCCGTTTATATTATTTCCGGTAGAAAGACAATACCGCATTATCCAAGGAACGGGGATATAACACAACAAGTATTTATCGATAAAAAAGTCCAAAAAAACTAGGGCGTTCTACACTAGATAAGTCAAAAGCCTGACTGGACCCCAACCGACGACCCTCACAATCTGCAGCCATGCTGGCCACATACGCTTACTGTGCCAAACGTACACGACACAACACAAGAAAGATAATTTTCTCCTGACTCACGCCTCACTCGGCAGACAATGGATACAATAAGCACCGCGAGTCTTGATATTCCCCACATAGACCTAAGCACGTCCCGCACGCGAAGCAGACGCAATCTTTTGTTTCATTTTATGATTTCTTACAAGAACAATTGTGATACACTCACTGAGAAATTAAAGATTCTCATAAAAGTACAGTTACTGGAGCAACGCTAAATCTGAATTGTCCTCAAGATTTGTATCGTTTGTGGAATAAGCATAGTGTGGGATGTCACTCAAAGTGTGTATTTCTAATGCTGATTTTAAATTTAGGTACTATTTAACATGAAAATTCTTACGAAGAAAACGACTAGTAATACAGTATATTGTATAGTATAACGTCTTTTAGTTATAAAACAGTTCATAGATATCTTTTTGATTATAACCTATGAATGTTAAATCAAGCTAAAACTTTATTCTTAGCTACTAAAATTTTAGTAATATCTATAGAACAAATTCACAGGAGATAACTTAGCGTAAACAATAAAATTCATTAAAAATACATTTAAATTAGCCATATCCTTTCTTACTTCTTTTCTTATATAATAACTGCAATAATCCATTTCATAAATCTTTCCAGCTTAATGGACCGCTAAGTATTGACTGTAACTACATCACTCAAATGCTAAGTCATTATGCAGTTTGAAATAAAAATAAATATACTTGAAAACAGGGACCCTGACTGCATCGAGCGCTTAGTCTTGCTCTTAAAAAACTATTAAGCGAGTCCACCCTTATATGACGATACGGATACGACACGGTCGCGACTTTCGAGCGAACGAAGAACTCAAATTTTCTTTATTTTTCTCCGACCTGAAAAAGGGCGGTGTTAGTTAATCCTTTACATTCAAACTTACCAACCTTATCTCTATAATATTAGTACTGATTAGTACATGACAGATACTCCTATCGGTCGCTGAATTTATCAGCCTCTATGTCCGCAGCAATCAATAAAAAATGACTGAATCAGTAGCTTTACATATCTTTCGAAGTAGAAAAATAATTGATATGAAGCTGCGGTCACACAAGAACTACACCAAGCAAAATTAGATATTACCTAGATATATTATGTTATCGATTAAGTAAATTCCACTTTCATTCAGCCGAAACGTGATTTCTTCGACTATCGGATCGTCCTCATGTCGTAGAGCTTAAATTTGATTTAAAGCATTCAAGCGATCGTTCTGATAATTGCTGTTGTATTTAATGTAAGAGTGCGCGTAATGGACGCAACGCTATTTTATTGACTCCACTACTTTGTTCACTCATACTCTGTTTTAACTCTTAATTTCAGTGAAATCGTAAATTTTACGTCAGGATTGAGAGCATCGTTTCTTTTGTAGTGCTTTTGACTATCACATTTATTTTGCTTCTTTTTTGTGCTATAACAGCTTAACAGAATTGATGAAATTTGTAATCGAGATAGATACCTATCCTGGATTACACTGTACACATAGACTTTTGTAGACGTAGATACTACTTATCTACTACTCAAGCCAAGCCGCAGACAAAAACTTTTTTTAAACTATACCTATTTAATAAGCTTAACTGCCTCGGTGGTGTAGTGGCTAGCATGAACGGCCGCACACTCGGAGGTCCTGGGTTTGAGTCCCGGATCTGGCCAAGTTTATTTATTGAGTCTTTCTGTATAGAAAGTGTCAGTCACAGCCCGGAGTTGGGAAGTTGGCGGTGTCTCACCCCCGTGCCTCGGAGAGCAGGTAAAGCCGTCGGTCCTGTGCCTTAACTCCCACTGGTCGTGTCGAGCAGTCGTCCCACCGGAGTATGAGAGTGACAGGAATAGAGAGTGCACGTTGTGTCTGCGCATTCATTTGTGCACTATAATATCTCCTGCGCAGTTGGCTAGTTTCAATGAGATTGGCCGCCGTGGCCGGAATCGGCTAGAAGAACATCATCATTTAATAAGCAGTTGCCAAAAATAAGTGAAGTATATTTAACATTATGTTAATATTATTTTGTAAGCAAAAGCAAAATCTTGCTTAAACAAAAAATGAATAAAAAACATCCAATTGAATTGAGGGGAATGGAAGCGGCGTTTTTATGCTCAATGTTTACTTTTCTAATAAACAAACATAGCAGTAAACCTAGCCCAAGAGTACGTGGTATATTTTTAAAGCGCAAATAGTCTACCATCAAGGTATAACAGATCGATTTCATTCCCAATAAGTTTACCTACTGATGCTGTGATGCTAACACGTTTGAGATATTGTTCTAACATAATATGCTAGTTACTGTTAGTCTTCTTACTATACTAGTATTGCCAACAATAACATTTTAAATAAATCGTAAATCTAAATAATATGTCATATTAAATTACAATATCATAACCTTAAAAAATAATAATATAGGTCAGTCCAAAAGTGTTTATTTTTAGTATTAATTTTCCAAGTACAAACTAAGTAAACAGTCGTGGCAATTCGTTTACATCCGAATCCCTCAAATATTACTATCTGTAGCCAAATTTTCATATGGATTTTTTTACCTATGATATAATGTTATTTTTTCGAGATAAAAAGTAGACTAAATCTATGTCTAGAATGCAATTATATATAAACATCTACGAATATAAAAGGATAAATAAAATTCAAGTGTCTATTTTTATTGTCAAAACAACAGTTTTTTACTAAACGCTTATTATGAAATTATATACGGTACTGATAAGAAAAAAAAAACAATTTTTAATTATGTTGTGCCTGTCCGTCTTGGTGCGTTCTGGCTAATCTCTGAAACTGCTGGACTGATTTTGATGAGACTTTCACTAGCAGATAGCTGATATTATTAGGAGCAACTTAGGCTACTTTAATTTGTAGAAAAAGAATCAGGGTTCCGCGCAAAAAAAAACCTTGAAATCGCATAGCTGACACATCCGAGCGAAGCGACTAGCTATTAATAAAGTATAAGTAAGTGCTAGTTATTAATAAAACTCTCAATACTCAACGAGTTTGTTTTATTTGTTTCATTTCCAAAATAAAATATATTTATACCTTGTTTAAATAAACTCAGTTCGTAGCTAACAAATGGGCTTCTACCATAGAGACTGGTCAAAAAAGGTTTCTCACGAATAAAAAAGGAAAATATTTTTAAAAAATATATTTACTTTTAGTACAACTTACAAGTACATTATCCATCACTCGTACACGAGCAATAAACAAAACATCGCTTAAATATCTCATATTAGTCAAATTTCCAAAAAAAATTGGACAAGTCATAGACAACAAAGTTAATTTATACAAAACTTGTTATTCCATAAAAATAAGAAAATAATTGAAGCATTTATGGCTAAAAATATTTCTTATATTTACAAAACAAAGTATATAGAAGCTGGGTTTATGAATAATAAGTAATAGCATCAAGCCCTTTAATGAACACATATATTCAGCCCTTTTTAACGTCCCACTGCTGGGCGTGGGCTTCCCGTAAATACAAGGGGGATCAGGCCATAGTCCAACAATAAATAGATTTAATGACACAAAATAAAATAAAAAATTATTTATAATATATTTTATTTAAAATATTATATTTCTATAAATTAATGAATTAATATTTTTTTATAACTAACTAGCATTATATTATTTTATCATACATGAGGTTTAAGAAAGATAATTGGAAAATAAAAATTATAAATAAAAAATAGTAACATTATCTACATTTTTAAATATTATTTATTATACATAACAATAGTAATTTATTGATTAAGAACTTCCAATTTTTCAGAACAATATTTGAGAAACATAATAGCTTCAAAATAAGGTAAGAAAAAGAAAGTGTCTCTATTTAATAGTAAATACCCAATGTACGTCGAAAGCTTTAAAGCATATAAAATATTCGTATGAAATGAATGTTACTGTCTTTTATTGTAATTTGAAGAGTTACAGATTCTCAGTTATGCCAAAATATATAAATCCCACAAACTGTTTTGACAATATGTAGTCTTTTCCAGAAAATGCTATATGTCTATATTTCCTTAATTAGAAATATTCTTTGGACCAAACTACATCATACAAGAATAATAATATATATTATATTCTAACTGAAACTTATTTGCAGATTAGTATATAATGGCATAGCAAAACCTAATTTGATTAATCAACTAATTGAGCTCATTAATTGAATTGATTAAGCTCAATAAATCCAATTGGTTGATTAAGTGTAATGAATCCAATTAATTGGTTAATTTCAATTGGAATCCAATTAATTGATTAACTTCAATAAAAACCAATGAATTGGTTAACTTCATCGGACGTACACTTGCATTTGTGCAGCTAATAGGAACAGCATCTTGAGGCCGGGAAGGAAGGAGGCGACATAGGAGAAGTCAGGGCCTGTTGCTAGTGATGTAATGACTTGTAATGCTTCTTCGTTGTTGCCGGCCTCGGCCAGTTGCACGCACGTGTGTAGGGATGAGAGCGCTGACTCGGATAGCTAGAAAATATAAATATAATTAGGAAAATAATAAAACTAAATAGTAACCTATAACTAAGTAACTTTTTGCATTAGAGTTCTAAATGATCATATAAATAATTGAACCTTTTTACCCTCTTAAATGCTTGGCACGGGTCTTTTTCATTAATGACGAATAATAACAATTCAAGTCATAATAATTCAGTTCGCAAGCCAAAAGTAAGTTTAGCGGATCCCATACGTTTTCAACAACTATATAGGTTATACTTTCTTAGATTTATGCGAATATTTGACATTTTAAATAAAATAAAATTATCTTTTCGGATTTATTTGGATTTTTAGTTCCCAACGTTTCGAATGCTTTACAGCTTCATGGTCACGGGAGAGACTGAGGTGTTAGATGTCTCGAAGGTATAGTTATTACAGACAGGCTACCCACAAATAACAAAATGAGAATTGCACCAATTACCTTACAATATTTTTTAACTTTAAACATTTTTATAATTTAAATTAGTTTTATATAGAATATATTCCATATTCAATTATATAGTATCAAGGTTAATACTGTATTTAAATTTTAATTTATGGTCATTTATACATGTATAATATTATTACTATAAAATAGAACCTGTTAAAAGAATAACTACATATATTGTTAGATAGTTATTGGGACAATTTTTTTTACTTACTCTATTATCTCGAAGCATGTCGTATAAAGTTTCGAGTTTCCTTTGAACATCTTCTAGTTTCCTCTTCGTTTGCTATAAAGAACGTTCATGTTATTCATATAAATTTAAAACCATTACTCGATGTTGGCTCAAATAAATTAAAGAAATTTGACTTTTATTTATCTAAAAAAATTATATATCCTTTGCAGCGTGCTTTATTAATTCCATAATATGTAACAGTTACTGTAATTCAATTTTAAATAAACTGTCCCCTCGTGTCCCTAGCTGCATTTTGTATTTGTAACATTATAGTACAAACTTTATTACTAACAATACCCTTTGTGTTACCCAAGTTATAGTGTGTCTGGGCACTTATTTTTAACCAACACCGCCCAGCCGCACACAACATACGCACGTGCATAACAAGCAAAGCCACGTTACCGGGTTGGCGGCGCGCGCGGAGCAGGCGGCGCGCAGCGCGTCCAGCGCGCGCGGCAGCGCCGCGTGCTGCGCCGGCACCGGGCCCTTCGCCGCCGGCGGCGCTTCCGGCGCTGGGCTCTGCGCCTGCCGCGGAGTTCCAGAGGTGAGGATACAGAATCAAACAGTCTATCATTAGAATGAAATATGTCGGAGAATATAAGTCAAGGAGATAAGCATAAAGAGTCAGTCAGTCTATCGTTAGAATGTTATAAGTCAGAAAGATAATCATAAACAGATAAGTCAGTGTATCGTTAGAATGAAATGAGTCTGAGATATAAGCGTAAAAAATCGTTCAGCCTACCACATATGAGTCAATCTATAGTGAGAATTCAATGTAGTTTCACTACCTTAATCCAATACGTCGAGGCGCAAGTCATACAGCTACATTATTGAAATTATATAAGTATTTATAACATATAATGAGATTTTAACCCTCAAATTTAACCCAACCTTGAATTATTAATTAAACATGAAATAAAAAAGGTACATACAGACGAACACAGAATCTCCTATTTGGAAGTCGGTTAAAAACTTCTGAAAACTACATAATACATGAAAATTAAAATAATATAACAACTCAATTTTTCCTTTTTTTTAATTTTAATAAAAGAACAATAAGTAATTTGTTTTAAGAATTTCACTTAATTAAAAAAACTTGTAATATGATTGTTGTTCAATTCACCTGTTGTGGATAATTTTGTTGCATGGCTGGCTGATACTGTCCCTGGTACTGCTGATCTTGATATTGCCCGGAATATTGCTGTCCCGGCATCTGTCCCGGTTGCCCCGGCAACTGTCCCGGCTGTCCCGGCTGTCCCGGATACTGATTCTGTTGCGATGGGAGCTGTTGCCCTGGGAACTGTTGTTGCCCGGGGAATTGGGATTGTTGTCCCGGGTATGGAGCCTGGCCAGGGTACTGTGAGGTGGGCACTAGAGGCACGTGTTGCGGCGGCTCAACGCCGAATAGTGGATGGGTGATTGGAGCTTGATGCTGTACTTCGGGTTTGGGCTGCGAATCGTTAACATATAATGAGTGTTATTTGTCCCATTTTAGATCATAATTCGAAAAGTTCATCCTAATTCACTTCTTCCGTTAATGTTTTTAGTATTTTTCTATGCATAAGATTTACGTGAATAAAAAATTGAAATCATAAAAATAAAAACTCAGAGTAAAACAGCTGAATAAAATTTATAGTATTTTTTCTATACTGCCTATATTGCACTACCGTTTTAAAAGCCATTTTTTTATTCAAATAGCTGCATATAACAAATCGTTTTAAACTGACAATTTTTATATTAACATCAATGTCTCTAATCAATGTTATGAAGATACTATCGACTGTGAACGCCTTTTCCTAAGAAGTATTAGCTGCTATTCTTGTATACCTATTCATTGGTGAGATTAAAATTAGTTACATATACAATATAAAAAGGAATAAACACTATTAAAGAAAATAAACACGATATAATTCATTTATCTAAGTTGATATTCAGAAACAAAAATAAAACTGATGAGGCACACCCAATGGATACAATAGATAGCAAAACCGTGGACTGACCATTTTATATGAAATGGTCCTATATACTTCAAAGTATTTCAAAATGACTGAAATGTTATACAGTAACTACCATCAAACTATTAGACACACGTCAAAATAAAAATCATACCAGAAAGAAAATTAAAATAATATTTTTTTTTAAATGAACACTTGGCCAAGCAGCAAGTGTAGTTTATGTCATATTCATGCTCGTTTTTTAATGGACACATGACAGCATGTACAGTTTATGGTCATGCTTCGTTTAGTCTATGTTCAGAGCCACTCTCGGTACCTCGTGTCGCCGCTGCCACATAATCTGTCCCCAGTGGCGCGCACCCGCGTGCAGCGCGGACATATCCTCGTAGCTAAATTGCTATATAATATAATACCATATTGTGTCATACATCGAAGTGTAATCGGGCATCAGTCTCAGTTGCCTTATTGAACACTGACTCTTTTAGTATGTGGTATTTACGTTTTCACTTTTTATAGATTACATTAAAAAAATGAAAAAATAACTAATACTTGTATATGCCAAGTTGTAAAGTAAAAATTTACAATATATTACTTCAAAGTATGTCTTTAAAAAGCCCGCTGCAATTAAATCATCAATACAAATATCTAATATTTATAATTAAATATTCAGTTTTCAACTATTTTAAATAAAGCAATATTACCTTAGGCTTAGCGGTCATCATAGGCGGGTCGTTCCAGCCGGGAGGCGCGGGCTTCGACACCGGCAGTGGCGTCGCCTCCTGTGCGTAGTAGGCGCCGTTCACCGCAGGGTTTAATTGATTCATTGGTTGCATCGAGTTCATCGGATTCATTGGTGTAGGATTTAATTGGCTACCTTGATTTAATGGAGTGGGGTTCATTGGATTTAATGGAGCAGGATTCATTGGATTTAAAGGAGCAGGATTCATTGGATTTAATGGAGCAGGATTCATTGGATTTAATGGTTTAATTGAGTTAATTGGATTTAATGGATTAATTGGATTTGGCTGGTTAATAGGTGTGAAGTTATGGCTTGGCACACTGGCCGAGCTGTATTGGTCGGGGAGAGGGCTATTGTAGCCGTACGAGGGTTGGTTTTGTATGGGGTTGTTGTAGCCATACTGATTGTAGAGCGGTGCAGATTGAACGGAAGGATCCACTTTATATTTGGATCGACTTGTGATACCACCTGTATGTGGAATAAAATTATGTATTTAATATTTAAACTATTAAAAGTTCTGTAAGGTTGAATTTAAATAAAATAATCTACAATACCAATATTATTATATAGTATCTCCTGTAAATGACCTGCCGAAGTAATACTTTCTTAGATTTATGCGGTTATTTGACATTAAAAAAAAATCATGTTTTCGGATTGTTAGCGGATTTATTTTGATTTTTGATTTCCGATATTTCGAATTGCAGCGTAACCGTGGTCACGGGAGATATTAAGTTTTTAGATGTCTCAAACGTTACAGACAGTGCCTACTTGCAAAATACAAAACGATTGCAATAAATACAAAATTCCAAATGATTTCACAAAAATCATTCAAGACGGCAAAAATAAAAACAATTTCGCGAAAAGGACCCGAAAAGATAGTTTTATTTAAAAGGGTTTTTAAATTTAAATTGTGTAATTATTATACTAGTAAGATAATACTAAAATAACGAAGTGAGCCTCACCCGGCTGCGAGGCGACGCTGGGCGGGCGCGGCGGCAGCGCGCTCGGCGCCCAGCCCGGCGCCTCGTGCGGGGCCCCTGCACAGACATACAACGTTATATTAATTATTATATATAATAAACTACATTCATACATATTATGAAAATATTTATATACAGTTTTTGAGTTAATTAACTATATGAAATAAACTAGAGCGAAAACATGTCAATAGTCTTTAATAGGAACTATTCTGACAAAAATAATTTTGTTTTATTAGTCAACGATAATATAATTGGACCATTTGATGGAAGGAATAGAGATGGTCGACTTTATTTTTTAATAGATAAGTTGTAAAAAAATCCAATTTTTGAGTGTATTAATGATTTTTTAAACGGAATGAGAAATTCTCACCAGAATTGTAGCTGGCAGCGCCGTCGCCGGTCGCGCCGTAGTGCCCGCGCTGCGAGTGCGTGCTGGCGGTGCGCGCGCGCGGCGCCTGCTGCGCCTGCTTCGTGTTGTTAATTAATATAATATTAAAATTATGTGATTACTAGGGAAAAATATTAAGCTAACGTTCGCGTTTATTTTATACTCGCAGAACCCGCGGCTTCGCTCACGCTAAAACTACAAAAAAATCTCAAAAAAGATAGTTTCATACAAACTTTCATCCCCTATTTTACTCCCATATAGGATGAATTAAGAAGAATTCTAAAACATGTATTTATTTAATTTTATTGAAAAGCATGAAATTGAATACCAAGTTTCAAGTTATTCTGATCATAAATATTTTTTGTATAGATAATTTCCCGCGGTAAAAAGTAGCCTATGTCACTCTCCAGCCCTCTAACTATCTCCAAACATAAAATCACGCCAATCCGTCACTCCGTTTCGACGAGAAAAAAGGACAAACAAACAAACACACGTCACTTTCACATTTTATAATATTAAGTATGGATTTATGTGAAAAGAGATATTTATTATTTAACACATATTTAACTACTTTGCTACTCAATCTTTTTCATATTTTAGACGAAATATTCTAGGAAATTACAAATGTGGAAAATAATTTTCTTTTTATACATTTTAAAAGAACCAAACGACAGCGACAGCGTTAACTACTAGCGCCATCTAGTATCATAGAACAAAAAACTATTAAATTAAATATTACATTTATACTAATATTATAAAGAGGTAAAGTTTGTGAGTTTGTGACGCTGTAGGGGATAATCTTTGGATCTAGTGAACCGATTTAGATGAAATTTGCTAAGAAGATAGTTTAAGACCCTGGGAAGGATATAGGATACTTTTTATCCTGGAAATCATCTTTTAAGGGGGTGAAAATTGGGATGAAAGTTTGTATTGGGAAACAAGTTACGGACGAACGTGAGCGAAGCGTGGATGAATCCGTAGGTTTAAGTAAAGAAAATACACAATCAAAGAAAACCGCACTCACCTGCGGCGCATTTCGCGTGGCGACGTGCTCAGCGTGCTCGTGGTCGCCGAGCGCGGCGGCCAGGCGCGGCGCCAGCGCGGCGGCGCCCCCGCGCGCGGCGCCCAGCGCGCTGCGCAGGCAGCCCTGCGCCGCCAGCCGCCACGCGTACTCGCCCAGCAGCGCCTCCAGCTGCCCGCCCCGCGCCTGCACCCACCGTACCTCATATATATATAGTGGTACATATCTCACGGACTCCCTACAGTCACATGCCATTTAAAATGTAAAATTGACAATCCAAAAGTGCTTGTAAAAGTCTGTTACAAAAAAGTATATTTGATTATACTTTTAAGAAAATAACAAGTAACAGCAGCATAGAAACAAATTAAATGAGAGATGGAAAAGTTTCATTAGTAGATGTTGAGGATTTACGTTATTTACTTTATAATTTCATTCTTGAAATTTCTAGTTAGGGTCGAATTATTGAATTTTTACCTCAATTTAATATACTTGTGAGATATTATAAAAAATAAGTTAAACGGCTTAAGAATCCAAGCACGTGGTTCCATTTAATTATTTTCATATTTACATGTACATATAAAATGTTTTAATACTTCATTTAAATATATAACTAAACCAAACTGTATAATTATACAAAGCAATATATACCATAAACCTAATAATAAAGTCTCGAATGTCATGAGACATCCAAGAGAAACAAATTTCATTTCACTGTCTACCTGAAGCTCTTAAATTTAACCATAAAAATTGTCACAAATACTAGGGTATCATAAACATTAAGGATATTGTAAAAGATAAGGTTCATTGAAGAAAAGCCTGTAAATTTAACATGAATTTCTTACAACATACACTTCTTAACAAAAACTTTCGTGACGGTCGAAATATTACACTTGTTCGCGTCTCCTCGACACATTCACCGAGTGTGCCGATTATAACACACTATAAGGAACTTCGTTCCGATAATACACAATACGAAAATATGAAACACAAATATAAATAATTTTTATCAACCAGTTTTGTTACTGTAAACTTTGTTATTGAAGTATGTACTATTTTGTGGTTTTGGTTAGTGATAATCACTTATATAATATGAACAATAAATAATTTAATCATGACACCCACCAGCACCGCCTGCCCGCGCACGGCGGCGGCGGCGCGCGCCAGCAGCGCCAGCTCGGCGCCGCGCGCCAGCGCCGCCACGCGCGCGCCGCCCGCCGCCGCCGCCGCCCGCAGCGCGCGCGCCGCCAGCGCGTCGCCGTGCGCGCCGCACACGTAGCACAGCGCGGCCGCCTGCTGCAGCTGCGGGTCCGCCTCACGCGACAGCTTGTCGCCCAGCATCTCTGCACACACAATGCTTTCATCAACGCTCTTAGCAACTTTATCCATTCGTTTCGTTTACACTAGCGGCAGATTTCCAACGAATATTAACTGAAATTTCATTTTCCTATTCTAAAAGGGTTTTATATGAGACTATACTTTCTGGTTAGTGAAACGAATAAATTAAATTAAACAAACATATATTCATAAATATATACATATAACTTTTCCTATATGTATCATTGTTTATCTATGTATTGTTTCGAGAACGTTAGGTATTTTAATTATACAAATTACAATTTATTATTGGTCCAGCCAAGTACTCAATAATGTTATAATAACAGCAGCGTCAATAAGCAAGGTGTCTCACCACAGTAGTGCGCCAAGTTCTCGGCGTCGCAGTGCGCGACGAGCGCGGCCAGCACGTGGCGCCAGGCGGCGGGCGCGGCGGCGCGCAGCAGCGCGGGCCAGCGCGCCAGCAGCAGGCCGCCCGCCAGCAGCGCCACGGGCGACGCCGCCGTCGCGTTCAGGTGGTGGCGCTGCACGCGGTACACTAGCTCTTGGCTGCCTGCGGTCAGTGTGTGTGTGTACACTCGACGTCTCGCGAAACATTCAAGAGTTAGCTCTTAGGTACTTAGAATCCAAGAGTGCAGAAAATATCGCGCTGTCATCTTCTTTTTCATATTCATGACCAATCGTGTGATAAATAATACAGAGGTTTTAATTCGATTATGTTATTATTGAAATTGTAAATTTTCCAATATTTGTATCTTTTTAAGGATTTTTGCATAAAAAACATTACTATTCCACAATAAACCATCCTACTCATTCTACTTATTACAAGTGTTTTACTACAAACTAAACTTATAAATAATAATAAATAAATATGTTGAGACATTTTAAAACACAGCGCCATCTAGTTGTAGACTTGTGTCATGGATACCAGGTAGTTGATACACTACACATATATACGTGTATATTCATTAGCACTTGACGCACAACATAATATAAGTCTTTATACAAGAAGATACAAGCAACCAAAGCGTTACCTAGCGAGGCGAGCACGAGCGCGTCGGCGACGCAGCCCGCGTCCAGGCACAGCTCCACCGCCTCCTCCAGCTGGCCGCACACCAGCGCGCGGCAGATCAGGCTCGTGCTGTCTGCGGGCACACACATCATCACATCAAAATAGATTTGCTTGGTCTAATCTATACTAATATTATAAAGAAGTAAAGTTTGTGAGTTTGTGACGTTGTAGGGGGTAATCTCTGGATTTACTGAACCGATTTAGATGAAAGGTAAGAAGATAGTTTAAGACCTTAGGAAGGACATAGAATACTTTTTATCCCGGAAATCATTCCTTGAGGGGATGAAAATGGGGATGAAAGTTTGTATTGGAAAGCAAGCTTCGTCCCCTAGCTTGCTTCCCAAAGACGAACCGAGGGTGTGTTGCTAGGCTTTTATATGGATGCTCATTGTGACATTTTGAATTTAAGTCCGGTTTAGTTTAGTAACGGTTAGTATAGATTTCTCAGAGATGAGACATTTTCCCGCACTAAAAAGTATTAGTATATTCCTATATGTTCACCCGGATAACCAGCTATCATCATACTAAATTTCGTCAAAATCTGTCCAGTGGCTTTCTCATGATGCGTTTCCAGACGGATAGACTAACATAAATTTTAAAAACTATAGATTCGGCCTCTATATAATTATAACTATATCAATAAGATTTTCCAAAAAATATTTAATATACAGATTCGACTCAGTTAGAATATGTATAGTTATTATATGTATACCTTTTGCTATCTATACATATAATATGTATAGATGACATAGTTTAGTTATTTTAAATGAAATTATTTTTCGCGATTTTAATTCCCAACTTTTCGAATACTTAACAGAAAATATGGTCTCGAGAGAGATAAAGTTGTTGTGTTTACTTTCAAAAGTTATAGCTATTACAGTGTTTATTCACAAAAGAAAACGAATTATTTACTACCATTATTTAATTTAGAATTATTTTTGTATACTAACAAATTCTCAGGAGCCTTAGCCTTATCAAGCAGGCAAGCGTCTACTGCAATTCAACTATTAAAATAATTTCTAACCTTAAGCTTTATTAGTCACATATGGCCTTGATAATAAAAACCATTTTGTTAATGAATGAAAACACAAAAAAAAAAACAATTTAAAAAGTAAATGAAATAAGTATGCCTGCCTTCTCCATTAGGTATGACGACGTCGGTCACCGTCGGTTCCAGCTCCACGTTAGCCAGCTTCCTCTCGACCAACGTCTGGGCGTCCTGGAAAATAAAATATGAAACTTCTTGTTATCTTAAAATAAAAAAAGTCAAATATTTTCATAAATCTAGGAAAGTACTAAGTTATTTATACAGAGTGTACCGTGAATGGTATACCAACTTGTTGAAAATTCTGACAAAATCTTTATAATCGTAAGAAGGCCAAATTATTGGCATAGTTTGAAAAAAAATGGATGCGTGTAACATTTACGCGCGTTTGAAGTAAAACTTCTTTGGAACATATCGCAATTAAATTAAAACAAATCAATAATTAAACAATTTACATATTAAAATCATATATTTATAGAATATCGTATACGGAAAAAAATAACATTATATATTTGTCAGACAACAACAACGGTTACTATGGCAACATGGCAATGTATTCTATCTCATTCTCTCGCCAGCTTAGTCCTATATATTTATGTGTTTGGCTCTTTTTAGTGTCGCATTATCGTTTCATCGAGTTTCAAATCACAATGATTCTAAAGAAGTGAAGTGAAACTTCCAAAACATAGTCGTCTCAATATTTCTTTTTTAAATCCAAATACCTTTTGAACTTTAAAATCATGTTGCACACTGTATCTTATTTAAAACATAAAAATAACCTAAAAAATTACATTATAATTGCGTTAGTAACACGTTATAGCATGAGCAGTTCGAAAGTAACAAATTACTTCTAACATGGATAATTTATAGTTATAAAAGCAATAATTAATTTTAATACAATAATAATTATTATAACACTTATTGTTGTTAGCGTAAGGCGTATTATTACTTACAGATAAGTCAGTACTGGTGTCTGTGGACAGTTCCGCCTCGGTTTCCGTACTTTCTCCCTGCAGTGGCGGGGGAAGTGGGGTCGATTAGTGCGAATAGATATACTTTGTAAAATTTTGCGTCATGCATGATCAGATGTTAAGACATAGGTTACAAAAGGTACAGAAAAATTTAGTTCGCTCTTAAAAGATGAAATCATTGAAGGTTAACATTATAGTGCGATCACACCATCTCTGCACTCGATATGTGGTATATGACGTCGTAACGCAAAACGCGCAAGCTATAAAATATATGTACTAATAAATTATTTTATATAATATTAAATATCTTTTATTAATATATGTATATTTATAGCATTTTTGGGAACGTCCCAGCAAGTTGCAGAGACAATGTGAATCCATTGTTACCATGAAAATAAATTAAATGTCAGAAATAAACATCGACCACAAAAATACTAGATACACAATCCCACGTAAAAGTTCTCTTAAAATTGTCATCAATTGTGTGTAGGTAATTATTCTAGTGAAATAAATACACAACAACATAAATTGAACCTTAATTGAAATGCTTAAAGTTGTTTTTACAAAAAAATAATAAAAGCGCGCTCAAATGTTCAAATGAGCGCTCATTCCGTGAGGAGATTTTTTTTCGCTGATTGTGTATTTAGCACTTTTTTGATCGATGGAGATGAAGGAGTTTATATTAGCAAAGAAAAAATATATATAATAGATACAACAACACATTACTAGTTAGCATTTGTCTTTCATTTAATGTAATGGACAGATAAAATAGATGAAAAAAAATTTAAAAATGAAACAGAAAAATAATAAGGGTGATTCTCATACAAACCCAAGTAACAAAATGACAATGAAATCTGGATAATCCTTCAGATAGAACCAATGTCAACTTAAATATAATTTCCTATGTTTTAAAATACTATGAGCGACTTACTCTGCTAAGCGCAGCCGTGTCGGGCGCGCGACTCTCTGTGGGCTGGCCTTTGAATTTAGATGGAATTTCATCTTGTTTAAAACCTAAACATGAAATATGATTATTTAAAAATACATTCATAGCAGTTATATTATTAATGGAAATGTTTAGGGGTAAATATATGCGTTTTATCCAAAAAGAAGTATTTATTAATATTGATATTGCCAAACAACAAAATTGTAACTCAATATTGTGGAAATTTTAAAATTAAAAAAAAAACAGTGAAATAGGTATAAAAATATTTGAAACCCAGGAGGGCTTCATACTTTCGTGCGAGATGAATACATACCTACTTACCATTTGGTAATAGTAGGAAAAAGTAACAAAAGAAAATATCTTGAAGAAACTTACATGTGTGCGAAAAGCTAACTAATCTTAATATATATGTAATATAGTAAGGGAACTAACCCTGTCGCATTATGGGAAGCCTTGCAAAGCAATAACATTTTAAACCCTAATTTCAAGTTACAATATCCTCGCAGCCAAAGACACAATAGTCCTGTACCTGGGTAGGTTCTGACTGACAAAAGGTCAAGGAGAGGTCTAATTTAGCAGAGTATTGTAGTTTGGTGTCCTAATCAATATTCCGAATTTGCGACCTTGAGTGACCGCCGCCCGCGCTGCCATATTAGAAAAATAGTAGCAAAAACCGTTGCCGTTGGTATGTATGTAATTATTTGTGTGTGTGTGTGTGTGTGCATGTATGTATGTGCGTGCGCACCGAGCATGTTGAGCACGTCGTCGCGGAAGGAGGGCAGGAAGCTGGCGCGCAGGAAGAACCACACGGAGCGCTCCGCCTGCTCCGTCGCCGCGTCGCCCTTCGCGCGGCAATACCTGCAAGCACACGTTTCTTTCGTAGTCTTGCAAAAAATACGGTTTTTTTCTACCGTGAAAAAAAACTCAAAAAAACATGAAAAAAAAATCAATTTTCTGGAGCATGTTTTTTTCAAGAGTTCAGAATTCAAAATTGTTAAAGAAGTTTCCGTAAAAGATTAATACGAAAGAACTCATATTAGAGTTTTCTATTTATTTTTAAGACTACCATACATATACATTTTTGGTTAAATAGTGTCAAGCTTACATGCGAAAATTCCGAACTGACAAGTACGAGACTAGTGTAGGTGGCTCTGATACTGAAAGTGATACTGATATTGACATATAAGAAGATACATTTTTATTTAATTGATTCATTACATTTTATTCGATTTCTAATTTTAGTAAAATATAAGAAATTAGAAAACATACTTCGATAAAACATTTAATTTCTTATAGATTTTAACTAAAAAAACAAAATTAGAAAAAAACAAAGGTACTAAGTTTTTTCGTTTATTTTTTTCACCATCGTGACAAAAAATACAAAGTCGTTTTTTTCATGTCACATCACTACTCTTTCACGTCCACAATAAGTAGCTTACAAATATATTATGGTTATCTAGACTATAAGGCAAAATCACAATACATGCACACACATACACACACGCGCACGCACACACGCACATACACACACATGCACATAGCCACCCACTTTATTATATAAGTAGGTACCTAACAATCAATCAAGTACAATCAATATCCAACCAAACAAACCCAATATTTTATAGTATGTACATACAAATATCATAGTATAATTGATAGAAGATAAATAAAAAAACTCACTCTGCCAACTTCTCAGCAGCTCCGGGCTCTTGACTTTGGGTCAATGCTATAATATTGTCTAATTCATTAGCTTTTTCCACTATATCTGGGTCGCTCACAACCTAAGTAATAAAAACAAAAAAATATTAAAATCACATCTTGAGCTTATCTTAAGTTATATAAATAAAAAGAAGAATAAATAACAAGAAGTATTTATCTGTTAAATTCATGAATCAAAAAATTACTAGATACATAATGAGCGACAAAAATGTCCTCACCGAATGTGCGCTCATTTAGACATTTGAGCGCGATTTTTTTTTTGTGAAAACAACTTTAAGCATTGCATTTAAGGTTCAATTTACATTGTTGTATGTTTATTTCAACTAGAATAATTACCAAAACACAATTAGTAACAGTTTTAAGAGAACTTTTGCATGGGATTGTGTATCTAGTACTTTTTTGATCGATTGTTAAATTATTATAATTACCTGACTGATGTACACGAGTTTTTGTGAGCCGGCGTCTTCAGGACATTTCTCAAATGTCACTAATTTACCACCAAACTAAAATCAAAAAAATATTAGCAATTAATTAAAGAAAACAACAACAGTAACAGCTATTTAGTGAAATTGAATTAAAATTTATTTACAAATATGCTCCACAATCTAATTACAACAACAATGATTGACAAAATTATGATTTAGTGAGGTTAATGGTAATGTGAAGTTGATTGTATTACGAGTGTGATTACAGTGCGAGTGTCATAGAACCTAAACCTAGGGTGTACCTAATTTTTGATGATGCAAGTGTAATTAAGTGCAACTGCAAGTGAAATTAAGTGCGAGTGTAATAAGGGATATGTATGTGATTTAAATAAATTTGAAATATTTTTTATAATCTTTTGTGTATTTCAATTAAGCCTATATCAATATTTTTTATGTATTTTTTTTATTAAGAAAATAGTTACATATTATTAAATGTTTTTTTGACTCTTTCTGTTTTATCATCTTCTGTACTCGATTGTCCCGACGGTTTGTCAAGATCAATGTCTTCTAATACAAAAAAAATTCACAGCAAAAACCCAATCATCGTAATTTTCTTGCTCTTTAAGTTTAGGTTAGTAGTTAGTAGTTTAGGTTTATTAATGATATAGCTACCCGGTGACATTTTACACTTTTCCACAAAATAATTCTAACATTTTACTATTTATTTTAGCTAAAATATATGACTGGGCCCATAACCTATTGAAACGCAGTTAGACTTTTTCTACGAGTGTCATTTATTACTTTTATTTTTAAGAAGGCCAATATACATTAAAAACTTACTTTGATAAAAAATAACATTAAAAGTGCAAATATAGGTGGAAAATTGAAATTAGTCTAGCGCACGAAATGGCATTGTATAAAGTATTCGTATCGGTATATTTAAAAAAAAATGTTTCATACTAAGTTTTAGTTTTTTGGAGTTGGATATTTTTTTACAATTATATAACGATTTTAGCTATTGTATAAAATTAAAAAAAACACGCATATTCCCTATTGTAATGCGAGTGTGATTGAAAGCAAGTGTAACTGAGTGTCAGTGTGGGTGGGGCGCGCTCACCGCGAAGGCGGCGCGTGCGGGGCGGCGCAGCCAGCGCGGCGCGCGCGGCGGCTGCGGGCGCGCGGGCAGCGGCGGAGCGGGCGCCACGGCCGGCAGCGCGGCCAGCGCCGGCGCGCCGCCGAACGACTCCATGATGTTGCTGGCGCTCGCCGCGCTCTGCTGCCAGTCACAAGGCCTTGTCAGTCAAGCTTTACATTCGATTAACGTACGACTTAAATTTACTGTTAAATATAAATGGGACTATTTAACAGTAGTCGATGCGTTACTCTAAGAGTCGGGTTCACAAATCGAACTTTCACTTTATGACAAAGTTTTACTTTTAGCAAATGTTTAATAGTCTTAATCTTAGTTTAATGCTTAATTTACTTTAGTCATACTTTATTTAGTAAAAACGGAACCAGCCATTATTAATTGCTTTAAGATAAAAGTTAATTTTGAATAGTATACAACTAAGCTATATACTAACATCCATCTCTTTCAAATTATGACAAAAAATAATAATTTAAATTTATTCAGATTCTTGAAATAACACCATTAAAAATAAACTCCACACACTCGCATACACGCACACAAGCACGCAAAAACTTTCGCATTTATTTATTCGTTCAATAAGTAAGAAGATACTTGTGTATTGTACTGACCGCGCTGCCGCTGGTGGCGAGCAGCGCGTGCAGCGCCAGCGAGTGGTCGAAGGCGGCGGCGGCGAGCAGGCCCGGCGCGCGCGCGCTCCACGCCGCCGCGAACACCCACGCCGCCTGCCGCCCCACCTCCACCGCCAGCTCCCCGCCCTGAGGCACACAACACACAACACATAATTAATTAAAAAAACACAATATTAAAAAGAGGGTAAAATAGATTCCCAGTTAGATTATGTTCCATTTCTTTCATCAATCCTCCATAGATTGGAAGGTAGCAAAGGTAAATGAATATGTTTCTTTTTATATTTGAAAGCAAAGCTGAAAAGTATATCCCTGAAAATATTAAAATAAAAGCAGACAGCAGATATTTCAATAAGAAACAACTCACAGGTTTAGTGTTGTTGGGGTTCCAGACGAGCAGACGGCCGTCCTTGCCGGCGGACAGCAGCAGGTCCTCGTCGTGGCGGCTCCACGACAGCGACAGCACCCCCTTCTCGTGCCCCTCCAGCGTCACCAGCGGGGACGCTGCCAGCCTGTGCCGTTGGCATACTCACTATATACATACTGGCTACAACTTTCACATATTTAATAATACTAACATGAAATAAACATAAAAATCAAAAATAAACATGCTTTAGATGCAAATTTGTCAGATACATTCCTAAATATCTAGACGCCTTCGTTAGACGCCTGTATGGATTAAATATATGTATATCTAAAGAGCGTACCTCAAGTCCCACAGCTGTATGACGGGCGCCGCGTCGTCCTCGGAGGCGATGCACAGCTGCGTGGCAACGGCCGGGTGCCACGCCAGCGCGCGCCATCGCGTGCGGAACTGGGAGTCGCTGCCGGCACACAAGTACTGCAATTACTGCCACCTATCTCACTAAGATTAGCCATGGAATTATAGTGCACAAATATGATATTCAATTATCAAGAAATCCTGCATTCATCAAGGATAATTATTGAGGTTTTTCCATTAAGAAAATTAATTTTCAATAGCGAAAGGTGAATATATTTAATTAATACAAGAAATTTTCACCTTATCATAACTCTCAGCAGTTGAACTGAGTAGAACTTTCGTTCCACTGAAAAATGAAAATGTAAGAAATAGAGCACTTTTACTACAACCACACATACATCACCACACAACTGTAATAAATCCTGCTCAGTGAAATTCGCCACCAGGACCAAAATCAGTTTGGAGGACAATATGCAATATTGTTTAAAATAAAACCGAGCAAGAAATTTTAAAATTGCTAATTACTTGAAGGATCATATAAAGGTGTAAGTCTAAGACTTGAAAGTCACTATCATGTAACGCCTTAAGGTTACAGTGTATTCTGCAATTTTACCTCAATTTCATGATAGGTTCATTTTTCCTTAAATCCCACACAAGACACCTGGTGGCAAATGTCGATCCCAAGATGTGTTGTACCTGTAACAATTTGATTATAAATCATTTTCTGTTACATTGAACTGCTATAACTTACGTTAGAAGAAAAAAGATAAACTGCAGACATATTTAATTAGTTTAGTAGAGAATTAGAAATGTTTAAACTACAAGTATGTGGCATGTACATAGTACATTGTAAAGCACTAGTATAAGATAATTTATAGATCTATTTAATTTTATTAATAATTTAAAATGTATAATATTTATAAACTGGTGATTAACTTTCTTCACTTTGCTTTGGGTTAGTCCCTAGACAAAAACAAATCTATGCCACAGGAACTGTAAATTTTATAACAAACATCCATTCTTCTGTCCTCACAAATTTTTACATTAATAATATTATTATGGATGGATTATATATATTTGGACTACAATTGACCTAAGTTGAGACTTAAAAAGAATCCAATAAACACAATGGCCTTGTCATCCTTACCTGTTGGTTCCACGCTAAGTCCTGGACGTGGTCATACGGCTGACTCCTGTTCCCAGGAGCCATTGGTTGGGCTGTGTTGTTCAAATCCCATATGAAAATCTCACTGTCTGAAGCTCCAGATGCAAGTAGATTCTTTTGATAAGGATTTATATCTAACGCTGATACATGACCTATAGTAATGTGAAGTATTTTGATAAGTTTAAATGTAATTTGATACAAATATTTATCTTTGAAAAAATTATATTGCATATAATGGGCAACTTTTTTATGTTATTTACAAAATCTAAATAGAATGAGTCGACATTACAATTAGTAAAAAAGTCAAATTATATTTGCCTTATTCTTTTTGTCTTGTGATAGGAATATATATTCAAAATATTACATTGGGCTTTATTTTATGAACTACATGTTCTTGACTGAAATAATACATTGTAACAACATGCCTTCTAACAACCATAATTAAATGTAGAATAAATAGGTCAAATTGTTATTATTGCTCAACTGATTTTAGTGTACTATATATAGTTAAGCTAGCTGTTCACTGAATTTTTATTCAATACTTATAGTTAATTTATAATTGCATATTTTAATATGTAAAAAATACAAAAATTCATCAAACTAGAATTTTTGATATATTAACTATCCATATTTTTAGGATATTTTTCTATTATTTTATCAATAAACAAGCAAAATAACATAAAAAACAAATGACAGACATTATTATTCATATTATAAGTAAAAATTTATTTAAATTGATAATAAAGTTTACAACTTTTATAAATTATTATGGGATGAGATAACAAATGACACTCTCTTATCTAGATTCAGTAGTTCATTTACAAATTATCTATTACTAGAAACTTTTTTAATACATAATATTATTTATATCTTTATCTTAAAATACATGAATAATCAAGTTCTAATATCTTACCACTATGTTTGGAGTTACTACTGACAAGTGCATCATTAGCACTATTAAGAAGTTTCTCAGCATTATAGAACTCAAGTAAACCTCCATCACATCCACCTACAATAATACCTGCACCTGACCATGCTAGCTTTTGGAATCTAAAAATACATTTTTTATATTTAATTAATGAATATAACTTAAATAATAATGTTTAATTAATATTTATAATTGTTAAAGTTATAACATAGAATTATGAAATAGCAATTTATACTTACTTATGTTGTGTTTGAATACTAGATTTAAGTTCGAAATCAAGGCTAGAGTCTTCTAGGTTAAGAGAATACAGTTCTAGGTAGGAATTTGAGTTAAACGAAGCATCAACCTGCTGTGCCGCAGAGCCGGCTACTAGCATATTTGGATAATACTCCGCTGGCGACCAGCTTACGTTCACAGTTTTCTTCAACTCCTTGATCTTCATCTTGGAATACCAACTTCACTAAAACAACTATTAATCACTTTAAAACAACACTTAAACGAAAACACACAGAATTATGTCACAGATTTTTGAACACGTCATAAAACAATATTATAACAGTTATACTGAATTAGTGAGCCGTAATCGTTTTATTAATTATTAGTTTAAGTTTTTATAAGAAAATTTTAGTACATTTATTTGTTAAATTATATTATTTACCATAAAAACACCGAGTTGGCACTTCCAACGTGGCTGACGTAAATACTTCGGATTTGACAAAAAATTGAAGTAACGTAATTTGACAAGTATAAATTTTAATCATCTGTGGTTGACATCATGACAACATTGACAACAATTTTATAGAATAAAAAACTTCTTGTTACATTATAAACAATAAAAAAAATAGTATATCTGATAGAAAACTGTCAGAAGTAGCATTCTATAAAAATATATTTGAAATAAACAGTTCAGATTAATTAAAAAACAAAAATAGAGTAATAATACTTTCAAATTACCTTTAATAATTAAAAGTAAGTCGTCTAACACTATAAAATCTTTCTTATCAATATTCCCATACAATCAGTTAAAACTAATGACGAAATATTTTTTTTATTATTATAAAAACAGCCCACTAAACGAAAAGTATTTTAAAAAATCATAGAACTAAAGTATTCACTTAACACCTGTTTCTCAAAAGACCGTATCATACGTACAAAAGCGTTGTTTAATCGATAGCTATAAAATAAATCCAAAAAATCACTTTTTGGAAGATAACGATTAGGAATAAGTGAATTTCACTATTTAAATAATTATATTTAAGTTTATTTTTATTAGCCATGCCTATAGCGATGACAAAAGACGAATGGTCCCGAATTAATAAGTGGAAAGAATCACGAGAAGACCCTGAAGTGGTTCGCAGACGAGAGTATGTAAAGTTTCTTAACGAAACCAGCAGAGAAATGACAAAACAATGGCCTAATTCCTTGGAGGTAAATTATTACCTGATGCTACCATAGTCTTTTGGACATAGATACGGATAGGTATAATCTTAACTAACGGTTATAATCAAAAATAATTATCTACTGCCAATATCCAATTATAGTTAAGTAGGTACAGGGTACTATAGAAAATTCTTTCTCATGATTTTAACTTCATGACATAATCTTAGACCTACACATATTATAATAATTTTTAAAAACTAGCTTTTAGAATTTTCAATAGCTTTTTTTTCTAATCCACTTCGTTATCATTTCTATATATTTTGACAAAAAGACGAAATACGTACAGCTATACCTACATACTTGTAAATTTACTGTCGTGTCTGGTTGACACGTTCTGGCCAGTCTTTTCATAAAGTTGAAATTTTGTACATAAATGTCTACATAAAAAGATTTTAACTAACGCATAACACCTTATTTTCGGGAACAAATAAGATTTTTTTTTCTAGAATGTAAACAAGCGTAACGAGGAACTTCGGCGCGCTCGCATCGAGGCGGCCGAGCGGGCTAACACCAAGTTCTACAAGCGCTACGTGAAGCACAAACAAGAGGAGCAGCAGCGCTTGATGCACACCGCCCGAGATACCATGTTCAAGAATAAGGACGCGCCTAAGATGTTATTGAGGTACGGAAATCGATGGAACTTAGTTTATATTTTTGAAGTAAAAATCTACTGTTTACTTAGCCTCTATTTACTTTAACTATTACTAAATAAAATACCTACATTATCAGCAACCTTATATAACAGCTGACCTATATAGAGTACAATAATATGTATATACAAATTCCAAAACAAATTCCGTTAATATATTATATCGCTATTTTTGTAGGTACCTAACTAACATAAATTATAACGTACATACTCGTATACAGCGCAGTAATAGAAACAGTAGTCTTAAAAGAGCGTCAAGAACAAATCAAATTTAAGAGGGAAATACAGCAAAAAGAAGCGGAGCAGAAGAAAAAAGATGATGACGACATCATACAGAAGTCTAAAGAGTGGCATGAGCTGATGGCGTTGCGAAGAAAACGACGGTTTGACGCCAACAAGCAGCACCAAAAAGAAATATTGGATCAGTAAATATCTTGTCTTGTACTACAGGAGAATTAAACTAATTTGAAAGGATCTTCAGCACAAACGATCTGCTTCTCTGTTCAACCATACTTTTTTTTATTTACTTTCTCGTATGAGGTCTCCTTTTGTTAACTTATTTGTAATTATATATCTCCTCCTTGTTTCAATAAGTAATTAATTGACAGTAGCTTAAGTAACATGACAAATCAAATTTTTTTGAGAAATGATTGTTAGAATATATTAAATTGCTGGTGAAAACATGAGTTTTGAATAAGTTTTGTTCCTCTATTCTGTCAGTCATCGACGAATGTAATTCAATCAATTATTTTATTAATAGCTTTTAGCCATATAAGTACTCGTATACAGCATAATTTAAATGACTAAAGGAGATCTTATGTAGTGAATGCAAATATTTTTATAGAGCCCATGAAGTGTCGGAACGTAAGCGCGAGGAGTACGAGGCGGAGCTCAACATGCAAAAGATTGACAACATAAAAGCGGACAAACAGATGGCCGCTATACGGGAGTTTGAAGAAGATTTTGTGAGCTTTCTTCTGCCTTTTATCTTAATATCCCCGTTTTCTGTGTATAAAGACGTCTTACTAATTTAATTTTGATAAGGAGTCATAATAGGGAGTCATAATCCTATGAACGTTTTTGCCACGTATTCTAAGCGCCCTGGCGACATACTTATTAGAAATTAGGACGCGCATCATCTGCGTATGTTTTACGACTCGGATAAAAAAACATATTAAGTAAATCATGGTCATCATATTCTGAAATGATAAACTTATAAAATACAAAAAACGTGATAAGCTCGTATTGACAGCGCGTAGTGTGCATAAATCCTTAGCAGAAGTAACTCTATTTATATATTCACTAGCAACTCACCCTCGCTTCGCTCGGGTTCGTCCCTAGGTTGATTCCGCATACAAATACTCATCCCCATTTTCACCCCCTTAAGGGATGATTTCCAGGATAAAAAGTATCCTATGTCCTTCCCGGGTCTCAAACTATCTTCTTACCAAATTTCATCTAAATCGGTTCAGTAGATCCAGAGATTACCCCCTACAACGTTACAAACTAACAAACTCACAATTCACAAACTTTACCTCTTTATTATATTAGTATAGATAGGTAAATAGATAATCTTTGGGAATAACATGATATAAGAATCGGAGCTTTTGTTTCCTAGAAAGCGTCAGAGAAGGCGCGTATCTGGGCGGACATGGAGCGCGCGCGCGAGGAGGCGGGCGCGCGGCGGCGCGAGCGGGCGGCGCGCGCCGCGCTCGACGCGCGCCTGCTGCTGGTGCTGCAGCGCTCGCAGCGCCGCGTCGACGCCAAGCGCCGGCAGACCGAGAAACAGGTGCTGACTGATTATTTTATAAATATATTTAAGGATGTAGTTTATAAATTGGGTCAGCTCTTTTATATTATTAATTGAAATAATAAATTTTCTCTAATAATAATATAATATACATCAAAAGCAAAGATAGATTTTTAACTAACATTTCAAAGACTTTCGTGATGGAACCCCCATCTGGATTTGCAGCTGAACGTAGGTATATTAATTAGCTAATAGACCAATTAAGATGACCATTGGAATGACCAAATAACATGTGTATGCGCGTAGATACAAGACGACAGACTACAAGTGCTGCAGAGGATCAGCGAGAAGCTGGAGTCGGGCGACGCGGCGCGCGACGCACGCGAGCAGAGCATCCTGCTCAAGGCCATCGAGGAGAAGGAGGCCATGTGTGTGCATTTTATATTAATTTGTTTTGGTATTATTTATAAGTGTTTTTTTGTTTATTTGGTACTATTAGTACCTATACAGTGTACACATCACGTTTCACAAACGTACTTACCGAAGACGCACGTATCAGGGTCGGCTTTTCTCAGCAGACTTATTTTCCGAGCCGGTAATAGCTTCCTCGCGTACTGACTACATTGACGCTCTTCAAGTAAATCTAATTGAATAAAGTTTTATTATATTTCATGAACGTACGTCATTTCCACATATTTTGCGCTGATAAATTAGAAAAATGCAGATTGCTTGCGTTCGTGTCGATACAACCGCGCGTCGACAACATGTTCACTGCGTTTCAACAGCACGCTAAATGTTATCGTGTACACAGGCCCTAATACTGACATTTCAATCATTTTACTGAAAAACAACAGATACTATCTTTACATTTTCCTTTAGGACGAATTAGGCAGGTACAGTCACGAACATAAATATATTATGACTATGCACAGTTCGGCAATAATATATGATTCATCTTTACATAGTATAAAATGAAGCCGCTTCCACTGTTTTTCGTAGATCTTTTAAACTACTCGCCGGATTTTAATGCAGTTTTCAGCAATACATAGAGTGATTCAAGAGAAAGGTTTATATGTATAATATATGCATATTATAGTACAGTAAAGCGGAGAAATTCAAATATTTGTATTCCATAATAACCGACAAAACGCACCTAGGGACGTACCCGAGCGAAGCGAGGATGAGTCGCTAGCTCATTATAAAACGAAAAAACTTTAAAATTAATGAAAGAATCTAACATTATAGTGCTGAAGCGAGCCGACAAGCTCAACAGCGCAAGCAGGAGAAATTCAGGCAGGAGCGTGTCGAGACGCGGCGGCAGTTTCTGCGCGACGAGGAGAAGCGTCTGCAGGACTTCAACACCATGCGCCAGTGGGAGGTCATGAATAGGTAAGAGTTAAGGACTTATATAGCAATAATAATATTTTTCTGACCTATTTTGGTCTCGGCGGCCAATCTCACTCAGACCAGCCATGTTCGCAGAATATATTATAGTGCACAAGTATGCACGCAAACACTACGTCTTAACACTCTCTATTCTTTTCATAATCAATGTCCGACGAGACGATATACTGGCGGCAAGAGATCACGGGCAGGACCGATGGCTTAACCATCTTCTAATTTCGGAAAGATACTGAAATTTTGTTGAAAGAAAAACACTATAACTAAGATCATCCTGACCTGCGACTTGAACCCAGGACCTACGGATCTGCAGTTTTACAAGCTAACTACTAGACTATAGAGGCAGCGACTTTTAAAAATGTTCAATAATTAATTAGATAAATTATATTACCTAAACCTTACAGATTTAAAAATGCAGAACTGTTTGAAGCTTTCCAAGAGAAATTGCGCGAAGATAAGGCGCTCAAAATACAGCAGTATAGAGAAGACCTCCTGAAGTTATGGGTAAGACTCGTATATACTTTATATATGGAAAATTTTATAGTGTAGTAGTAAATTTACAAATTACGTACCTACCTCTATAAACCATCTTTTGGGCTTCACCGCGATCGCTTAAAAATATTGGATATGGAATTATGGTTGATAAGCGGGACTGTGTATCTTTTGAAATATAAATTGTATTTTATAGAGACGAAAATGGAGTTAGCTGCTAATTACTATATCTTTATATGTTAACATTATACGTATATCAAGTACAGAGTCAAACCTAGCCTATTACTAACATAATTAAAAAGCCCAAATAAATAAATAAATAATTAAAGCCTTCAATTATCAGAAAGGAAACGCAATTTAAAACACATATTTCCATTTGACCAATACATTCCAGCGTGAAAGAGAAGAGCGTGAAGCTCGCGAGCGCGCCGAGACCCGCTACTTCTACGGCGCGCGCGCGGAGGCCGAGCAGCGCGCCGCCGACGCCGCGCTGCTCGCGCACGCGCGCGCGCTGCTGCGCGAGGCGGCGCGCCGCGGCCGCCCCGCCGCGCCGCTGGAAAAGGCCGTGGACGTGAGTTGTGGAAGTCGTTTTACTATATTTTATTTAGTAACAAGCAGTGTATTTCACTGAACACTTTTTGTATATTCTATTCATGTTTACTTAGAATCAGTTTTGAAATTAGAAATGAAATTCAAATAGATATACTTAATAAGTAATAAATAAATATTGATAATAATTAGAAGAAAAAATTTGACAATGTCAATACAAAATTTATTGTGTAATCGAAATTTATTTTAAAATATATCCAAAAATAACATTAATAATTGAATTAATAGTACAAAAAATGTTTTAAAACACAACAAAATCGAAAGTGCATAATATTTAACACCATTCAGACAAAGAAAGACAATAGCATTCCCAAGGAGGGTTGACGTCAGGCAGGCGGCCGGTCGTAAAACTTTTGCCAAATCCTATCAGCAGTACACTGAAGATGTACTGCGCCGACCCCAAGTGATTTGGGAAATGGGCAGGGAGAAGAAGAAGAAATAAATATTGATATATACAATATATGTACATATTACATACATATATTACAGTGTTATGAAATACGAAACAGAGGAAATAGTTAACTGACAGCCCTATTACATTATTAAAATAAAAAAGTATAAATTATTATTTTTGTTTGCTTATCTAAACGGGGGAGTCTTAAATGAAATATGCACAGCTTAGCTTTACTACTAGTATAGTATTATCATAAATGATCTGTGGCTTTACACAGGGATACTAGCAATATTATTTACCCCAAAAACTAATGAGATAAAATGCTGAAAACTAATCGAAAATCTGTAAACTATACTATATCACAGAATGAAATTAAAGAAGTAGCTGATTAGCCTTCAATTTTAACGGAAATGCAGAGGCTGTCAAAAAGTAAATTCTAATATTCACGACGAACAGTGGCTAGTTAGTTACAAGTATACTCTTCAAGTTCCCGAGTGTCGTATAAAAGTACATAATAGGATAGCCGGGAACCATTAGAGGGCTGCATGGTAATCCATGCACAGATGTCTATACTAATGTATACTGTGGTAACACTGTCGCAGCGCTACTGCCGGATGCACCGGCTGCAGCCGGCGCCGGCGCCGCCCGCCGCGCGGCGCCACGGCGACCGCCCCGCGCCCGCCGACATCAGGGACGGCCTCACGCACGCTACGGTTAGATGTCATCTTTGTTATCATTTGTGTTTAATCATCAGACGTTTTCAGTCCACTGTTGGACACAGGTGACAAGCCTCTCTCAGGGTTTGCCATTGAGCGCGTTCTTGAGCTTTGCGCAACGAGTCTACACCCACCGTACGGCGCAGGTCGTTGTATGATCTAGCAGGAGAGCGTCCCACACAACACACTGAGTTTCCCTTCTCATTTGTGTTGTCGATTAAATATTGACTGGGCGTATTATTTATTGTGCTTTATCGATTTTTATTTATTATAGGGGAAATGCGTGTAATTCGATCCCTCGAGGTAAAATGATTCCCCATCGTATACTAACAACTACTAGCGACATCAATCCAAATACGCAACAAAAATCATCCCCGCAACTCCGCCAGTTGCCTCTCCGAGTGTCATGGCGGTGTGAGCACTTAGCGTGTTTTTATTAAAAAAAATTAAAAAACATGCCTCTAACCTATGGTAAGTTTATTTTTCGAGTTTCATTACTTTTTGTATATTAAGATTTATTGAAATATTTAAGCAATGTTTGAACACCGCACGTTGTATTTGAAGATTATATTTTGTTTGATGTCTTGAAATAGGTGTTTGAGGTGAAATGATCCCTCTTCGTGTGTATAAAACGATCCCTGGAATCATATTACCCCATTAGTATTTTTAAAAACTTTTATTTAACTTGTAATATATGTCTGCATGTATATATGTGTGTATGTATGTTTGTAATTGACCTTAATTTGAGCGTTAAATTTAACCCACTTCCCGGTGTTCTATTGAGCTGAAATTTTGCATACTTATGTTAATCCGGTGACAATGCAATATTTTGATACCATCAAGCTGATCTGATGGTGGAGCCAGGGTGTAGAGACTGGAACTACTTGATGGCGAATAGTAGGACAGTTGAATTTGGGCTGGTATTTTTTTATCATGAGTAATTTCCATTACATATGATGACGAGAGTCTGAAGATGAAGCTTAAAAATTGCCACTGGAACTCCGCTTTTTTATCATATTAATCAAGTAATGTAATAAATTGATGGGTTTGATTTGTTTTAAAGTTTATTTTCTTCTTTTTAGAGCATTTAAATTAAAGCTTGTTTTTAAAAATGTTTTTTTACTTTGAATTTTTATTTTTACAGATGGTGCCGCGAGTTTACAAACGTAAAACCACTCGCCAAAATTGGCCTGAGGAACGGTCTTTATTTTTTTTAAATTATGAAGAAGATTTTATGTTTATTTATATTTTATTAGTTATATAAATCTTAAAACTTTTGTTACCATTGTTTAACGTTTAATTTTGTTGATTTAGTAAGAAAAAAACATGATCTTCATTGTAACTCAAGACCTAAAATGTTATATATAACACGCTTAAATATTTTTGTTGCTTTAAGCAATACATATGATTAAAATAAACACCTGGGTGTTTTATTTTGTTAATATATTGTAAGGTATAAAATGATGTGATCATTTTAACCCTTCCCAGGGATCGTTTTATACACATGTATGTATAAAACGATCCCTTACCAAACTTTTTTAAAAGTGACGAAACTAATAAACCACATATGTTATCATCACAAATAAGGAAGCAGTTATAAAGATAAGATTTAAATTGTTAAGAATAGTGAATTTACTTATGTATTTGTGTAAAACTTTGAACACAGTAAAGATTTTCCCTTAAGGGGATCATTTTGCACGCATCTCCCCTAATAGAGTTAATTACTCTAGACTATTTCGGTAACAGAAATCATCTCATTAAGATTAGACATCTGCGTGTGAGATATAGGTTTCGTAACCATACCGTAGTCCGTACATAACCGTAGTGCAGTCGTATTACGATCTGGTATTTTGATCAAGGACAGTTAAAAAGGCTAAAAAGGGAAATGACACAATAATGTAAATTGTACTACCGATGACAACCACTCTGAAGAGGACATTTCATTTTTATATCAAGAAGGTAAGATTTAGATTTCCTACATAAATTCTTCTTCCTCATAATTCTTCCTTGAAATTTTTCAACATTTTTCAATTTATTATCAGGTTCACATTAGATACGCAAGTTCTCCTTGCAGGATTTAAGTTAACAAAATTACATATTCACTGAATTTTTAATGTTAAATAATTATAAATATATGTATATACCTAAGTAGTATTGTTTTTTTTCAGAGCAGAAAGACAACATAAGAAATTTTATTGCTCCTAGTAGTAACTATTATCAAGAAGACTTCAACCAATCAAGAACAATAAAACAGAAAGCTGATTCCTTTTATATTTCTAGCTTTTAACTTTTTATAATAGGTACAATAACATAATAAGAAAAATGTGAATGTAATGCTTAGTTGTTTCTTATTTAACAATAATTAAAAGGAACTGCCCCAACAGCATTGTACATACTTTGTAGAAACAAGCATCATGCAAGCTTGTTGCTCGGAAAGTGAAACTAGAAAGTTTGATTAAAACTTGCCATGGCAAATTTAGATCAAAACTTCAAATTTGATACATCATGCAAGTCAAATTCAAGTTTAAATTGCTATCAAGGATATGACCAGTAGGTTTGTAACCGGAATAGTTAACATTTAACCACTACACCGTATTGAACCGAATCTCTTGAATTTTACTGTGTAAAGTATTGAGGATAGGTTGTAGGTCAGTATTCCAACCATGTTGGAGTCCATGATCTAAAACGAAATTTAACAGGACTATACTCGCATGATCATCTAATCCTGGTCTTACATTAGAGCCAACGTTATTAGAATCTTGCGCTTTCTCACTCATTGATAAACAAACGCTTAGTGCTTTTCTGTTGAAGACTTCTGTAAGCAGTCGTCGCGCTAATGATTTACAATCTTTTGAAACTAGCTGACAGTACTTAAGGTCTCCGCAGCTGACGTAAATACCGGTTTGAGGCATAAGTTCTACGAGTCCTGGCAAATGTTGAGGATATTTCAATGTCCATCTTGTATCATGAGGATCATATTCCGGTGGTAAAATAAACCGCCATAAGTTCTTGTGTTTTTTTTCGGCGTTTTGCTAACAACACCATAACTATGTTGATTTTCATTACTCGAACTTGCTCTCGCTGTGTCTGCAATGTGTCTTACTTCAGTAGCCTGTGGAAATTCTGGTGGCAAGTTGTTTGTGAGAGACAAAGTTGTTTGAGTGATGGTAGCAAGGTCGTCCAACATTTCCTGGTCCAAAACAGCTCTAGGATGCGTCTGATGGTTCGGTGACATAGAGCTTTGGGCAGCCGGTGATCTGTCTGCACAACTACTCCCAGAAGTAATTCCAGTGCTTTTGACGTCATTTATTGGCTCAACTGGATCTTCGTTTGTAGACATCTCGTGGTATAGGATTTCTTCGTGATCTGTAACAGTATCGGAATCTGAAGTTATCACATAATACAGTGACAGAGGTTCTACCATGCGCTCGTCTGTTTGACACGCATTGTCCATTAATACAAGTCTATAATCATTTCTCGTTGCGTATTTCATTTAAAATAGATACCTAATCAGATATTTTCGAAGCCGGTGCCAGCCTATGCAAAGCAAATCTAATATATTTCGATACGTAAAATACATATTTACATATATATTAAATATTCATATCTTAAAATATTGTCGACTGGCATTTATTCTAAATGAAAACCCCCGTTTAGTAATTTTTACATTTTAGTACCTGAAAGTCGGTTTTTATTATTTTTTTAAAAGTTTTTATTTTTCCTTTTTTAGTGTAGACGTAATAAGCAGATAATTTATAAGAAGAAAGTTTTTTAATAACATATTCGATTAAACTACTTATTTTACAAAAAAATTGTTGATTTTTTATAAAGCCGCTCGACCGATTTCGAGAAAAGACCTGACAAAACCTGGGAAGTATACCCCTTTGAAACAAAAAAAATCAACATCGGTTCAAGCGTCTTCGAGTAATCGGTGAACATACGTAAAAAAATCCAACGAATTGAGAACCTCCTTTTTACAAGTTGGTTAAAAACGACACCACTCCCGGCTAATTATTTCGACATTTTGATTTCTAATATTTTAACCTAGCGGGCCTCAGTTACTAACAATTATTGATAACAGATTTTCCGTTTCGGCGAATTCACTTCGAGCAAAAAGTTTCGAAAAACAGCTAATCAAAAATTGATTTGTCTCAGTAGGCTTGAAAAAGAAATATGTTAGTTAAAAAAACAAATCCTTACCTTTCGATGCAGGTGATTGTGTATACTTTGTAACATCTAAATAATATTATAGTTAAAAAAAACACATGTTGTGTTAGTTGAGAAGCGATTTTCTGACTGAAACTCCCATCCGTGGTCATCTCACATTCCCCGTAAGGGGAGTGGGGAAACGGTATCGGGGCATAGCCCCCTGACCGTGGGTTCTTCCGCCGCCCACAAATATGGGCGCGTCACTGGGAGGGCCCTTCTGGGACCTTTAAGGCTGCGTAATGGTAGCCGCCCGGGCGATCGCCCGGCCGGGTGAGACCCTATTCAGGGAGGCCCAGCCAGGCAACCAGCGACCAGACGGCGGCTACTGAGGCATCATTATTGTATGGTGAGGCGCTGGTGTCGCCGGCCCGTGTTCCGCCACGACCTGCGCGAGAATATCGCGGGCACGGCGGAGCGAGGGGCACGGTGATCACGCGGCCCGATCGGTACTGACTTCAGTGTTCGCTGGGCGAGTGAGATGGTGGCAGCGGTCGTCGGGTGACGCGTCTCTTGCGAGCTGCGATACCGCAGACGCGAGCACGATTGGATGCGAGGCGGCTTCGGATCTTCTTCTCGTCCGCTCATGGTGGTGGGGAGGCGTTACTGGACGACTTTCTTCGCGACCCACACGACCATCTTAGGGTCGGGCTTCAACTAGGGTGAAGGGGAATCCCCTCAGCGCCTTTGCTGCGCGGCCGGATTCCACCGAGTTTAATAAATAAACTCGGTAGGAATGCCGTATGGAGTCTTCTGGTTGGGTCCGTGCGATGCTTCGGAGATATTGCTTCCTCGGCGGTCGGGCGATCCTGAAACTCCCACCACCCATTCGGCTTATTTATACAAGCGGTTATACTATTTGTGGTAATGGTAGGGAAACCAACGTCACTCATTGGGTCAGAGGCAGCCTCGAATCTCGATAGTACTCGTAGTTACTAACTTATTTGTACGCAGATGATAAACATTATTTACCTCAAAGCAATGACTTTTCAGTGGTTACTTCTGCTCAGTAGGGATTGAAATCTATACATATAATAAAATTGTAACTAAGTCGAATCTGTACATTAAATATTTTTTGAAAAGTCTAATTGAAATAGATATTATTATCGATACAGAGTCCGAATCTATAGTTTTTAGAATTTTTGTCTGTCTGTCTGTTACCGCATCACGAGAAAACCACTGGACAGATTTTGATGAAATTTGGTATGATCATAGCTGGTTATCTGGGTCAACATAATATAGGATACTTTTTGCCGCGGGAAAATATCTCATTTCTGAGAAAAAATACAAAAACTGCAATGTAAGAGTATACTAATATGTAAAACCTAAGAATTTGGTTTTTGATCATCTGAACGCAGGCGGAGCCGCGGGCAATGCTAGTGAAATATAAGGCTTCTTGTTAGTTGCTAAATTGCTTCATGTTATGTATGTGTACACAACAATAACACTGTTTTCATTTGATTTTTCGGTTTAATTATTCGAGAAGAGGCTTTTAACAATTACACGAGTGAATAAATGTATATAGGTACCTTCGTAAGTTTATCGAGTTGGCTTTTTGATAACACATCATGGAAATTTTTAAGAAATTAATTTAAATTCTATGAAATCTATTGTTAACTGTAACGCCGGTGTGTCCGCGTTCGTGAAAGGATTAACAAAATAAAAAAACCGACTGCATAAAAGCTAACTAAAAACACACAATGTACTTAAATCTCGCGGCAAGGATGAAACGTGTATGTCTCCGACTACATAATACTATATTCCTTCGACACTTTGTTTTCATTTTTTTAGTTAGCTTTTATTCAGTCGGGGTTTTTATTTTTATAATATATATTTTTAATTACAGCTTTTTAGTTTTGGTCAATTAGACATTTGAAGTAATTATTGGCATTTTTTTATCGTAAATTAAGTACTTTTAGATATATAAGTAATATATATTTTTGTAATCGCGTCTTAAAAACCTTTATTTTAATATCCCACTCAATATAGAAGATTTTTTTAAAGACACAAATTGGTGTCTGAACATATAACAATCGCGTTATGAAGACGAATCTAACCATGTATGAATCATCAAATTCGGCCTACGCCTTTGGCGTCTAGAATGCTATATACCAGCAAACGTACATATATAGACTGATAAACACACTACACACCTTTGCGTCGCGCAGTCGGGTAAAAAATAAACATTAGCTTATCAATCCTAGTAATGTAATAAATTTATAGCTGTTTCGACCACCAAATAACTATCCCAAACCATCAAATAATTCATTTATGTTAGAATATAACGTGAACTCTAAACGGTGATACATAAGAACACGTGGATTTGAGTTGACTGATTAATTCACTTGGTGAAAAGAAGATGTTAATTTATGCAGCACGTCACCGTGTTTGTAACTGGTTAAAGATCGCGACGCGTCAATGATCAATAACCGCAATCAAATTCTTGTGAATAAGCCAAACGAGAACATTGCTTTTTTTATCTTCATAAAACAAAGTATACGAGTAGTACCACAAACAGTCAAAGTTATCTGACCCGGTGGCCAAAACTGGAACACCTATGTCATATGTATTACCGCCATTTTGAAATGTCATTTAGCTGTATAAACAGCAAATTAACATTTCGATTACTTCTTGTGCACTCTGGCTGTCATTATTTCTACCCTAAAAACTGCGGAAATTCTATATAGCGCGGCAATACTAAGTATTTTGCAATGACTCGCCACAGGTGGGGCCGACGGCGGCGGCGGCGCGCGCGGCGGAGGCGTACAAGCGCGCGGCGCCCGCCAACGGCCTGCAGCGGGACCCCGAGGTGCTTATATTATAATATGTACTCATGACTTATGCATCTCCAGGTGCCTATCAGTAGCTTGTTACTCCAAGTCATAGACTATGACTTGTACGTTACGTAGTAAATTTCATCAAAATCAATCTAGCCGTTTCAGTGTACAGGTAACAAACTTTAGCATTTGTAATAGTAGTCCAATTTTGTTTATAAACTCTTGGAATTGACATGATTTTCAATTGTTATTACATTATTATTATTCACAAAAAGTAATTCTGGCATTTTTAAATAATAATCAATATTAATATCATATAGAGAAAAGAATTGCTCTTCGCTTTGTAATGGATAAACAAAAATCCGCTGAACTGGATTAGATGAAATTTGATATGAAGATAGTATGAAACCCTGAGAAAAACAGGATAGTTTATCATCATCATTCCTTAAGGAGGGAATCAATCATTTCTCATGTAAGGGATATAAAACTCATACCTATATATATACTCATACATATTATATAATATACTAATATTTAGTCTATCTATTCTATACTAACCATTATAATCTTTTGCAGAAGGACGCGTCGCTGCTGCCGGCGCAGCGCGAGACGCAGAGCAAATAAAACCACTCGATAGAAAATATTGATTTATTATTTAACCGATAACGTAGAGAATGTTCGTGTTACTCAGAGAGCGTATGGCACAGTTCCTGGGTGACTAGAGGTGTGATGTGAAATTTTGCGAATACTATATATATCGATGGGTTTGAGATTTTATTCTTTTCACTTAAAATAAATTTTTTAATACTAACTTACTCGAATCTTTGGTCGCTTGAGTGTAGATTGTCGAGCGGTGGATAAGTGGGCATCGTTTGTTATATGTGATTAAAATTTTACTGTTGATAATTTCATTTTGTGTAAAAAAACATTAAGTTTAGAAATATAATATCGTATAAAAAATTTGTTTATATTATTTTACATATGTAACATTTTAAACTCTAATGATTAAAAATTATATTTAAATGCTGAAGTTTTCTATGAATATTTAGTTTAAATTTTTCTATCAATGTTTGAAAAATACAATCTATTTCGTTGAGATCGTGCTAAACTTAATAGTGACATACAATGATAGCGATCGGTAAAAACTAAGTTTAAAAGACTTAAAATTCATTCCTTTGAAAAAATAATAATAGTAATTGAAATTAACAAACTCATGTAACAAACGCGCCCAAAGAACTATATTATGTTAACAGAAATGTCAAATAGTCATGAAATTAAACAGCGTCTAATACTTTTTACCTTTGGCCTACTAAGTATTGTCTATGCTTTTAAAAACAACGATCGTTATTATCAACGAGAATTTGCGTTTCAAATGTTTATAAATTAAAATTAAGAAAAAAAAGTCGATTCTCTATACAAATAAATATTGTAATTTCATTGCTTTAGTAATCGCTAATAATAACGTTCGTTTTACAATATAACAAAATGTCCTGCGTAAATAAAGTCAGAGCCATATATAATAAAACAAAATAAAAAACTAAAAATATAAAATAATTCGTTTCATAAAATTATACTAAAATCGAAAGTCGTGGAACGTTCGAGAATGTTCGGTCGCGTCGTATCGTAACCTAAGACTTAACCTACTTGTACTTTCGTGCCTAACTTATATGTACAGATACAAACAATCAAACAAACATACACTAATGAGATATGGCAAGGATTTGTGCTAACGAGGTATGACACTAAGAAATATAAAATCTATTATTACATTACTTTACAAAGACAATTTCATTACAAAGAGAGATTCGAACCCGCACCCTTTCGTGCAATATCTATGTATATGTAGTGGATGTCATTTCGGGTAACTAACTTTTTAGGTGTCGACAGAAGTTTAAGTATATTTTTAATGAATTAAAGCTATCTTAACAATTTTATAAATAAAACAAAGAACAGATTATTTCAATGCACTTTTCAATAACATCTAACGATGCTCTCCGTTTCTAACAGCAAAATGTCAAGATAATATGAAACTTAAATATATTATTACTTTATGTTATATCCTGTATATTTATTTAAAATTATATTATATTTCTAATAAAATCGTCCAAATGGTATAATATAAACTTTTATACATAAAACATTAGTTAACCGAATGATTAATTCCAATGATATGTCACATTAACAGTCAAAAAAATATAATTATTACAAATCTTGTAATGAAATTACCCTTGCAACTACATCGTGGTGTAATCTAATATTTAATATTAGTACAAATGTATATATAAAACATGATACAAAACAATACAGCATTGCTACAGTGTAAATGTAAGTAAGGCAACATCGGACGTGTCAGTCATAGCCCGCGCTGTGCGATCAGCAGACTCGCTGCGGCCAACTAACATATGCACCGACCATACTTAATACTTAAATAAAATAAATTAAGTAACGATATAAAACTAATACAATTTGGCACTATTCTACTCTTAGTCTATGTGAAATGCGTTGGGAAGGTTTCCGTGATCACGGCTGTCGCTTTATTTTTGTGTTCACTATTCATAGTGTTCGTTGCTATCAATGGTTATATATTTTGTCGTCATAAATTGCGCTCTTATGTGAATATTTAATATTTGTGCTTGTATAATGGCGTACGGTAGATTGTCAGGTGAGGGAAGTACCGCATAGCGGCTCAGTCGGCGTCGCGCAGCCTGCGGCTGACGGCGTCCAGGCGGTGCAGGTAGGCGGCGGCGTCGTCGCGTGGCGAGCTGCTGGAGATTATGTATAATGTATATATTTAGAATTATTTTATAAATACAATTTACTTTATGGTAACTCAGTGGTAACGTGCTCGATTAGGAAATCGTTTGAAGCGGGTTCAAATTCCGGGTCTCACAACTCTAATAATATATTCATGTGCTAATCATTTCCAACATGATTGTCACTTATCTTAACGGTGAAGGAAAATATCGTGAGGAAACCTGCATTTAAGAGAACAGTGGGACGTAAAAAAGAGCTAAACACAATTTACTATATGTAACTTATTTTATTTTATAATAAAATTTTATATTCTCATTTATATATTTTAATTAATATCTAATCAATGTAAACATTGAACGGAAAAACTGAAAATGACTACATATATGCGATTTTTGTAAATGCAATTAAAATACTTTCCTAGATGTAAGCAAATATTTAACATTTTTAATAAAACAATATTTTCGAATTTTTTCGCGGATTTATTTTGATAATGTTTTACAGCAATCAAGTTCACGGGAAACAACGAGCGGGAACCAAAAATCAAAATGAATCCGCGAACAAAACCCAAAAAGATAGTTTTATTTAGATGCAATTAACTAACCTCAACTTAAAGGGCTCTTCTAGTGGTGAATTCACTTCGAATGCAGATCGACGATTTGAATCAGGTACTGGAATTTAAAAAAACATATTTGATATAATCTTTTTCGTTTTATTTTTTAAATTAAAAATCAATCTCGCAAAAACTTTATTTAAAAATAAAATTGACTTCAATTAAAAAGATAAGCAAAAATAATATGCAATATATATTTTTACATATAACATTTGAGACATACATGCGTGTATGCGCTTGGGCGTGGAGGTGGGCGTGGGCGTGGGCGAGGCGGGCAGCGTGAGGCGCAGGTCCCGGCGTAGCGCGCGCCGCGGCGCCGGCGTGCCGGAGTGCGGCGTGCTGCAATCATTGCTTTGTTTTATTTAACTTTATCTAACGTATATATAAAAAAAGTGACATATTTATCATTCAACAGGAGAAGGTAAGTCCGTACGTGAGCAGCAGAGGCCTGGCGGTGGGCGTGGGCGTGGGGCGGGGCGAGGCGTGGCGCGTGGGCGTGGGCGCGATCAGCGCGCTGGCGGCAGCCGCGCGCGCCGCCTCGCGCCGTCGCACCAGGTAGCCCATGCGCAGCGTCGCCACCGCCGCCAACGCCACGCATCTGTATAACCAAATTTACTTTTTATATATTTTTTTGCAACTGTCATAAAAATATAATAAATAATTGAAATTTGAGTTATTGTTTTCTTTGACCTTTCACATATGTATATTAGCTTTCTATAAAAATATCAATTTTGCATAAAAACGAAAAGATAACAACAACAACAGAAACGTCTTTTTACATTAAACATATATTGAACATTGAATTTCTTTAAAGTAAAAAGAAGTCTCAATAAATGTAAGCATATTTCCTATGATAGCAGATGCAGATACAAAATCATTCTAACTAAAACATAATCCAATACAACCTAAGCACCATGGCACAATTTAGTCAGTCTATGGCTGTGGGCTACTCACTTGAACCGCTCGCGGCCGGCGCTGCGCGCGGCGGTGGCGGCGGCGGGCGGGCGCAGGCGGCGCTCCAGCTCGCCGTAGCCCGCCAGCTCGCGCTGCAGGTAGCGCTTCTGCCACACCAGCGCCTTGCGGCAGCTCTCCAGCCGCGCCCAGCGCCCGTGCAGGTAGCGGATCTGCAACCACATAAAATGGTATTTTCAAATTCAAAAAATCCAAACAAAATAAGGACCTCTTTACATTACTTGAAACTCTTTCTAATTTCATATTCGAATAAAGAAAAATGTCATAAAAATAATTGTGAAGTCAATTGTCAATAGTATTATGTCCGCGAAAACATATTGTTGATATTTTTTATAAAATATTATATATTATTAATTTTTTATTATGTAATTTTTGAAATAAACCTAACAAGTTGATATAATGGAGACCATAAAAATCGATCGGGAGTCCAAATTGCCGAACATGATGTAAGTTTGATTGTATAAAATATAGACGTAATAAGTAATAACAGGACGCGACTACGATGCTAATCGCACTGCCATTTAACGAAGAATATAAATAATATGAAGAAAAAATATATTTTTCCTTCCATGAGTCGTACCGATGATATACTTACTATAAAAGTATAATATTAATACTTCAAATATTAATATTTTGGCGAAATACTAAAATTAAAATGAGTCCCTTTTGCATCGATTCATCGATATTCATTGTTACATAGCGGTGCTACGAAAATGGTATTCGAACTAATAGTATGATGCTATTTGGTAAATTTTTTATATAAGCTTTGTTTGTGACGTGCTGGATAAATTCTCAGACTACCAAATTCATCGATAAGTAATTTATATAAAATGAATTATAGCAGACGATTTTTTTTTACAAGCATGTGCGGCGACCACCCATCTTTCACCAAGGCTGAACTGAACTTAAAAGAGGGAAAAGCGGAGAATAAAGAGAAAGATAGGAAGATATCAAACTCATTTATCAGAATTTCACCTACTGTAAGTTCAACAATACATTTTACTCTCTATTTTAGTATGGTTTACTAATTCTATTACTAACGAAAATTAATTTTATTTGAGTTTGTATTATTTAGTTTCAATTTTTTAAGTGATTTTTGCTACGTTACATTAATATCAATACATCTAGCGCGTTTGGGATTGTTCAATGTAGTACTTGTTACCATAACATAAACAAAGAATATTGCAGAAAATTGATAAAATTGAATAATATTATTAAGATATATTAAGTAATCTTTAAAAAAATCCCGCAGATATCCCGCACAAAGGCCACAGAGGAGCTCGCGCCGGCGGCGGCGGCGCTGGACGACGCGCCGCAGGCCTTGTTCGCCGCGCAGGGGAACAGGGAGCTCGTGCACGGTTCGCGGCTAGCCATTTTATACTCATTCATTATATTTTTTGTATTACTTTCTTAGGTTTACGCGAATAGTTAATATTTCAAACAAAACTTTTTTAAGTTTTTTGTAAATTGTACTTAATTTTTATGTTTAAATTTATTGAGATAGCTAGTAATTTGTAATATTCCACAAGTATATTGTAAGTGAGAGGTCGTATCGTGTGCAGCGGCGCTGGGCAGCTTCCGCTGGCCGCCGTACCTGGTGTGCGCGTGGCTGCTGGCGCTGGCGCTGGCGCACGCGCTGCACGCCACGCGCGCGCTGCTGGACCGCGCGCTGCCGCCCTTGCGGTACGCACATCATTATTGTTTTTTTTACGAGTATACACGAATATGCAATGCGACAAAATGCAACGCGGTCGTGTGTGTGTTTTCTTTTGGGAAACCTGTATGCGTTTGTTGGGGAGTTGTCAGGTACACATCTATACTTATAATTTCGCTGTTGTGTGAAGCTTTTATATAAGTAAGTTTTAATAGCGATACTCATGTGGTAAAAATGTAAAATATTGACTATTATTTTGTTATTTATTATATTCGAGTTTGAAATTATTAAAATGCAACATTGTACCATCGTAAATCGTTATTATATTTTTTATATATTTTTTAGATTGTACACTATTACACATAACGCATACTTAACAAAAGTATTATAATAAATTACCATCGATACTATTTAACGGCTTTATCTATAACATGTTTTCAACAATGAAGTTCCGCTTCCTCGTATCAAAGAAAGCTAGGGCCGTGCTACAATAATTCTATCGGTGGCGCAGCGCGGCGTGCGCGTGGTCGCGCGCGCGCGCGGGCGCGGCGTGGCGCGGCGCGGGCGGGGCGCGCGCGGGCGCGGAGGCGGCGCTGGCGGCGGCGCTGCACGCGCTGTACTCGGTGGCGGCGGCGGCGCGCGCGCTGGCCGCGTGGGCGCTGGAGCCGCCGGCCCCGAGTGTGTACGACGCGAAGGTAACCAACTATGACGACGTCGACTCGCAGATAAGCCCGCGTTTGAAGTGATCGTTTTTTTTTATGTAGTGAGATTTGATTGTTTCGATCGATTATATTGCCTATTGAGAGTTTAAATTAAACAATATTGTGAGCACATTAAGTAATTATTTTATTTCACTCAAATATAATCTATCTATCTGTCTATATAACAGAACTTATATAAAAATATTTCAATATTTTAACAAATATGTATATATGTTATTTAAAAAAATATATACACATCTAAATAAACATCTAAAAATTAAGACACGTAAAAAACTATTTTTATTCTGTAAATTATAAACATTGCCGATTTTCATATTTTCCATGTTAAATGGATACATTCGGCAAAAACTATACAAGAAACGTGATGAATAATATAATTGTACAAAATAATTATATTTTAATTATACTAAATAACACGCTCTCTGCCGATTGTAAAGTAAATCAAAACCACCTTCCTGATCGTGAAAAATAAATTGAATTAACTCAAACTTCCATTATCCGTCTCCTAACTCCATCATTACATCGACTATCCCCTCTTCTACTGTCCATTGAATACCTCAAACTCACAGAGTGTTAAATGAATACGCCTAAAAGCAGAGTTAAATCAAGTTGCAAGATGTAACAACATATTAAGTCTGTCTCTTAACAAAGCCATCTATATGGAGCAATGGTGCGGAAGGAAGAGCGATTGAGGTGTACCGACATACGCACTTATAAAAATTCGAGTAAAATCTTTAGGGTTGACAGGTACAGATATTAGGTTCACAATCAAATGAGTATAGTGCTTTAATTTCGAAACCGTCTACCATGAAAACGAGCTTCTTTGACAACCCTTACATTTGATTATATTACCATGAAAATCAATGGGTGCTCGCTTACTATGTATATGGATTTCGATAATGTAGTATTGTCCGAATTGATCCGTCAATTAAAAACAGGGTTAAGTCGACCAGCAGTGTCCGTCAAACAAAGTGAGTGGATGAATGAATGTGTGTGTGTGTGTGTGTGTGTGTGTGTGTGTGTGTGTGTGTGTGTGTGTGTGTGTGTGTGTGTGTGTGTGTGTGTGTGTGTGTGTGTGTGTGTGTGTGTGCGTGCGTGCGTGCGTGCGTGTGTGTGTGTATGAGCGTGTGCGCACTCACGGCCTGGTCCCGGTCGGCGAGCGCGCGCCGCAGCCGCAGCAGCTCGGGCGCGTCGCCGAGGCAGCGCCGCAGCGTCGCCATCTCGCGCGCCAACTCGCACTTCTCCTTCTCTATCTCCGTCTGCGTACATACTCAACACATTCAACACATCTTACTTTATATATAAAAACCATGTAAGATAACATTTTTGATATAGTTAATTATCTAATAATAAAGAGCATTATATTAAAATTACAATAATAAGCATAATTTTTATGGTTTTACTCAGTTTAGTTAAATTTTGTAAAAAATTAAACGCGTAATGAAACAGTGATTTTATGCAGCATTATATATTTTACTTTAGGAACCATGAGTTAGTTGCATCAGTACTTACGAATGTATCATTACTCTTATTTCTGCCGTCGTTGAGCTTCTTCTCCAGCTGTATGATGGTGGCGCTCTGCGTGTGCAGCAGCTCCTTGGTGCGCGCCAGCTCCACTCCCGCCTCGTGCTTTAGCCTGATATTCAAATAAATACTACATTTACCGAATTAAAATGATTTTTATTTACAAATTTCTCAATATAAGTATAATCTATACATATAATAAAATTGTAACTAAGTCGAATCTGTACATTAAATATTTTTTGGAAAATCTAATTTAAATAGATAAATCGATACAGAGTCAGAGTTTTTAGAATTTTTGTCTGTGTGTCTGTCTGTTACCGCATCACGAGAAAACCATTTGACAGATTTTGATGAAATTTGGTATGATGATAGCTGGATATCCGGGTCAACATATAGGATACTTTTTACCGCGGGAAAATATCTCATTTCTGAGAAATAATACCAAAACTGCAATGTACGAGTATACTAATATGTAAAACTTAAGAATTTGGTTTTTAGTCACCTGAACGCGGGCGGAGCCGCGGGCAATGCTAGTGTTTTAATATATCAATCGTTATTAATTCTTTTCATAAAATTATAATTTTACTAATATTACAAATAACAAAATTTGTAAGGTTGTATGTTTGTTACTCTTTAACGCGAAGGCTACTACTGAACAGATTTTGATGAAACTTTACAGTTTACCTATAACTTTATAGTTAATAATAAAAAATAACATGAAACGATGACCACTGCGTCGATGCAAAAATAAAGTTTATATAAGTAGCCCTCGGTTCGAGTTCGGAACTCGGCGCGGCACCTGCGCAGCTCGACGAGGTCGGCGCGCAGCGCGGCGGCGCGCTGGGCGTGCGCGTCGGCGTCGCGCCGCGCCTGCGCGCGCGCCGCGTCCAGCGCCGCCTGCAGCTCGGCGCCGCGCCGCGCCTCGCGCTCCAGCCGCGCGCGCAGCAGCGACACCTCGCCCGACAGCCGCTCGCTGTTCTCCTTCTATTGCACCACACACACTGTTTTATTATTAAAATACACAGGGTATTTGTAGCATTGTAAACAAACCGACATGTTTTTTCGAAACTAACAACGCATAATGAAATAAGTATACTACACAATACACATAAACAAGTATAATGCCTTAAAGAATTTTGAAGGTAAAGGTCGACATAAAAAAACCTATCACAGATAAGACTAATTTTATCTTACATAAAAATTGCACGTTCCAATTTCTTTTCATTTGTAAAAATCACACATATAATACAAATAATTACATGTATAAAAATAAACATAATATAATATAAAATAGTTAAAACATAGAGCAAGCGTGAACCTCTTGTCGCAATAGGTCGTCCTGCTGCGCGGGCGCGGCGGGCGGCTGCGCGCGCTCCAGCGCGGCCAGGCGCCGCAGCAGCGCGCGCTCGCGCTCCTGCACCTCCTGCTCCGACCGCATCGCGCTCTCCAGCCGACGCTTCAGCATCTCGATCATGTTCGAGTCTTGGCTCTGTTACAGTTCACAATCGCTATACTTACGGAGGAGAGGTAAACTAACAACGAATACTTCTTGTGCTAACCATTAAAATTGCACTTTATTTTTTATATTCATAGCGAATAATTTCATTTAGATTATTTTATGATAAAAAGCAATGGTAACAGAATAGTAACGCTCGATTGGAAAATTAAAGTTTCACACATCTTATATTTCCATATATAAATTAACTATCGCTCGCTTTAAAGCGAAGGAAAATATGAGAAAACCTACACGTTCAAGGGAATTTAATTAGTTTTCAAAAGATATGTCCGTCAACCTATATTAACAAGTGTGATAATCTACAGGCCAAGGCTCCCTCACATTGAGGGGATTTTGCACCGAAAATAGTATGTTAAAAAAGTGCAGAATGAAGTGAGTCTATATAAACTATGGACACGATATTGCAATGTACAAAAGCATATAGGTATAAAGTATAGATAGAATACACACGTGCAGCGTGTCGGCGGAGTCCTTGTGCGCGTCGAGCAGCAGCGCGAGGCGCGCGGCGTTGTCGCGCTCCGCCTGCAGCCGCAGCCGCGCCGCCGCCGCCTCCGCGCTCGCCGCGTCGCGCACCCTGCGCGCACACACACACACACATACTCATACAGATAATACAAACAAACGTCATAACTTTGTGTCAATAGCAATGATCTTATCGAATTTGTCACTTGAAAAACATACATTTAAAATAATCTGTATAATAGTAATCAAATTTTAAATCAATAATTCTAACACCCTCTAATCAAAATCAAAGTACTAAAAACCAAAATTGATAACTTATTTTTCTATTATTACACTAAAAATAATTAATTGACATATTTGATTACTTATGGACATTGTGTGAAATTCCAATTACTAGCTCGTAGGAAAATAATGAATGATTTCTTGTACGTCGTACCTGGTGAGCTCCGCGATGAGTGCGTCCTTGTCGCCGAGGCGCGCCTGCAGGTGCGCGAGCTGCAGGCGCAGGCGCTCGTGCTCCGCCGAAGACTGCGCAGCGGACGAGCTCGTGGACCGGCTGCGCGAACACAAATACATAAATTTCACATATTTAAAATATTAAATATTCGCTTAAATCTAAGAAAGTATTATATAATTATATATACTTAGGAGAAATTGTCAATAACAGCCCGAAATCCGGATCACTATTACCATGAGTGCAAATGTATTCATAACAGCAATGCAATGGAGCAACAGGTTTTTTTCGTAGAAATAGTTTAAAGGTGATAGTGACGTAGGCCGTTTAAAAATAAATATTCCGGTATATCAAGTGTTTTTCAAAAGATATTAGCAATATAGAATAAGTTAATTAAACTCACTTGGAACTGTTCAAAGCGAGCATTGGTATGTCGTCTCTTTCATCACTGCTCGCTGATAAAATCTAATAAAAAAATATATACATATTATTAAAAACTCATCTCACCCAAAATTAAAAAGCATTTTATAATATACATAAAAATGAATTATAACGAAAAACAGTCACTAGACCTTTATATAAAATGATATGACAATAAGCTATAAAAAGTGTGTGACACGTGTGTGCGCGCGTGTATGTGTACCTGGTCCATGATGTCGTCGTCGAGCGCGTGCGAGTAGGTGAGCTGGTCGCGCAGCGCGCGCTCCAGCTCGGCCGTGGGCGAGCGCGCCGCCAGCGCGCGCGCCGCCGCCGCCGCGCCCGCCGCGGACGGGGACTGCCGCGTTCTGCAACCAATCATTCTTCCTTGTTAAATAAATTTAAACCGACTTTAAGACGAATATATTGTGTAAGATATACACGAAATTGAGACAACTATTTTTAATATTTACATAGATAATCATGTAAGTAAAAATATAGGTACTGTACATAAGCGAAGAATCCTATATTCAAAATAATTAGAGAGAAACTACTAACATATTTCTTTGCTAGTACGCGACGCCTATAATTTAGGTTTCGAAAATATTGAAGAATGATCTTTTATTTCACTACATAATATTGCATTGGATTTAATCTTGTAATTTTCAAACTAACCTTTCGACCATTTCCCTCATGTTCGCCAGCTCTGCTTCGAGTTCTTGACATTTTTCAGCTTTATCGCGCAACTTTTCTTTTAATTCACTTATATTTGACTCTTCTCGCAACCTGAAAATTAATTTATTTATACATATTATTATAAAATAACTTCATTGTAGGTAGGCATTAAGTTTTATTTTGTAAAAACAAACAAAACATGAGTATGACTAATTTTAGACCTTATCTATACAGTTTAGTAGCTATTGATGAGCTTAAGCGTTACCAATAAAAACATATGAAAGAGTTTTTTATATAGATAGGAAATTTATATACATATGTGTATGTTTTACTGAAATTTTTAATAATAGCTGAAATATGAGTAAATTTGCTTTATATTATTACATCTTTAAATCATTAATGTATCTTTGTTATATTTACGTATTTTGAACAATGGTCTACAAATATATATGTAAATAAGAAGGAAAATACTACTTACATTATAAGTGCCAAAGTTTATGAGGATGAATAGGATGTACGTTTGTTACTCTTTACGCAAAAAATACTAAACAGATTTTGAAGAAACTTTACAGTAATATAGTTTATACATCAGAGAAACAATAATTTATAAAGGTACGGTAATTTGTAAATAAAGTATGGGGTCAGAGCCGCAGAAAAAACCTAGTACGTGATAATTGTATTTGTAACTCTGTTCCATATCAGATAGCGCCCTATAAGCCCTACTTTTAAAGTTTAAAGGGAGGATCAATAGACCAAAAAAATATAATTTAAACCTTTTAGGTTCGGAATCTTAAAATGTAGTTTTTTTTTATTTTAATGACTTGAATTTTGATGACTAATAAAAAAATCATTTTATCCTTCTAGAACTTATGATTAACAAAATGTTCATATAATTAAAAAATCATATACTCGTTCTAGAAAACTAGTTAATTAACTTGGACTTAATAAATGAATAATCAACGATGAACAACAAGTGGCTCACCGGTCGGAGACGGCGGCGAGCTGCGCCTGCAGGCGCGCGCGCTCGCGCTCGCTGGCGGCCAGCTGCGCCGCCGCCGCACGCGCCTCTGTCACGTCCAGCTTCGCTCTCGCCAGCTCGAAGGCCTGCCGCAAGGATCCAAAAAATCAAAATATACTTTATTCAAATAGACTTACGAGCACTTGAGATCGTCACTTTTTACATTTTCAAAACTTTAACTAAATGTAAGTCCGTGAATCTGCCACCGCCTTGTAAGGCAGTTCTGCTAAGAGCCTTCTTTTTTACTGAATTATCAATTTTACCCGAAAAATCTTTTAACGTGATGGTTTTCTTAGATCCTATTACTATATATAACAAAAAGTATCTCGACCTCCACAGGCATTACGTACTATTACAAAAGTAAACAGTATTAAAATGCATAATAAAACAACAAACTTTAAAAATAATAAAGCATATTACTAATAAATATAAAAACATATCATACCTTATCGTTCAGCTCCTTCTTATGAAAATCGAGTTCGTGTTGCAATAACGAAATTTGCTTTTTGATTCTGACCAGCTGCTTCTTATCGTCGCCGGCCGCGCGCTCCGCCGGGGACTTCTCCTCGCCCTTGTTCCGCGGCGACGGACTCCTTGATGCCATTTTTAGTTGCTCCTTCAATAATGCTATCTCATTGTGGTAAGAGTTTATGTCCTCGTGAAGAATTTCTATTTCGGTCTCTTTATCTTTTAGTTTAACGTTCAGTTCCTTCAGTTCGTCTATTCTGGATGTGAGTTCATTATTTAAAGAGTTGAGCCTTTCTAACTCTGTCTCGCTGTTCTGTAGTTTCAGCGATGCGTTTTCTTGTTCCTTCTCTATTTTAGTTAGTTTGAGTTTCAAATCTTTATTTTCATAGCTCAGCTGATCGTTTTCTTCTATGACTTTGGCGATGTCGCGGTTTAATGTGGCCACTGAATCTTGCATTTGGAACAATTCGTTACTTTTCTCATCCAAAGCTTCCTTTAAGTTTTCCATTTCCTCTGTTTTATCGTTGAGGCATCTTTGCAAGTCATCTAATCGATCCAAGTGCTGATTGAGGCTGTCTATCTGTTGATTCTTCTCGGAAACTAATTGTTCTAGTTTTTTTAGCTCGTTTATTTTATCTCTTAATTGTTTGTTTTCTGTTTCACATTTTTCCAATGCCGTGTTCCGCGATTGCAGTTCACTTATTTTGGTTTCCAATTCAGTTATTTTGTTCGTCAAGTTGCGTTTTTCTTTAGCGAGTTCAAGTATCATATTCTCGCGGCGCAGAATATCCTCTTTTAATAAGTGTAAGTCATTAGCCTTTTCAGCCGCGTCTTGTGTGAGTTCGCTTAGTCTTTGCTCTAGAAGTTTCTTATTAGAGGAGAAATTTTCCAATTGGTTCTCATAGAATTTTTTATCGTTTTCCATAGTTGCCATGGTATTTTCTAGAAGGCCTTTCAGTTCTTCGACTTCTTCTTTAAGTGCTGGAAATTCACAGAGCTGTTCCTCTGCATTTTTGAGCTCAGATTTACAAGCTTCTAATTCATTTCTAGACTTCTTTATCTCATGTTTGAGTTGCGTCAGTATATCGGGAAAGTTCTCCTGTTTGACATCCAACGTGATGCCCAATTCACGTAACGACGTGAACTCCTCGTCTTGCGTTCTGTTATCGGATTGTTCTAGGGAGAAGTTGATCTTCTTCGGTTCCACGCTAATATTTTTACCATCGCTAACATCTCTATTCGGGTACATTGAGCAATTATCTTGTATATTTTGAGCGGTGGAATGCTTGACGCTATCTCCAAATTTGTCGATAGCGCCAAATAACATCGTTTCATTTGCATTCCTTTTGTATATATCTCTATTCTGTGTGGAGGTGAGGTGCGCCGGCAGCGAGTCCGCGCGGGGCGAGTCCGCGCCAGCGTCCGGGGGCTCCGCGTCCTCGATGTTGAGGGAGCTCATGCTGGGCTTTGGCACTTCTGGGGGAAGCGTTTTGTTCAGGTTCGTTCCGTCTTTGAAGTCGTGTGTTAAACTGGTGTTTTGAGACTTGAGTTCGGCTCGTCGCATCTGCATGTCTTGTTCGTCATAGTCCGATATAGAGACGATGTCGCTTAAAGTGCGCGCGGACGCTTTGTTCTCCATAACTTCGCTCTTCTGGCTTTGTTCGTCTTCTAGTTTGAGCGCTGTGAATGAATCATAAAGGCAAATTAGTACGAAGTCTAGACAGATCTGTCACGGAGGGTGTTGTTAACCCAAATAGATGCACCGGGCTTGGAAATAATCCAAACTACTGTACGCTACATACATACCCGTCGCAGTCAATATACGTCGTACGTGTTTTATTACAGTTACAAGTTAAACAGGAAATTATTTATGGTATGAGTGCTTAAACGAATGTCCATCGCGGAAATATTTCAATAAATTATAGTATACTTAATACGTTTTATTTTCACAATTTATGTCAAATTCCATAATTTGACATAAATTGTGAAAATAAAACGTATTAAGTATACTATAATTTATTGAAATATTTTCGCGATGGACATTCGTTTAAGCACTGGTCCATACCTGAGCTTCATAATTCCGCTCCTTCACTTTCTGTTTAATTTATGCCAATGCAAATATTTCTATTATCTATATAATGAACGCGTAAATGAATAACAACAATTACGCACCCAGCTAATTATAATCTATACCTACAGTGACATGACACACATCTAAAATAGGGGTCAATTACCATGATAATTACAATATAAATAGACATACATGTGCAAATCAAAAAACGTGTGTGTGTACATATAAACGCACGTAAGAAGTTATACTTCTTTGGCATAATAAAACAAAAATATCTTAAGATTTTATCCCGTATATCACCACTCTCTGTTTGTAAAAGGAATGCATCTAACTTCATACATATAATAATACAAATTCGCCGCTTTCAGCTAACTTAATCACGTCGTTTTTTGGCTGTCGGTGTGCGCGCGCACCGTAAAAATTTTACTTCCATAATTTTTTCCAATCGTGCCAAAAAAGTATAACTTCAACAGCGAAATCTAGTTCAAGTAGCGAACAGCCCACCCATGATGTCGTCGAGCCGGCGGTCGCGCGCGGCCAGCGCCGCCTGCAGCCGCGCCGCGTCCGCGCGCGCCGCCGACAGCTCGCGCTCCAGGATCATCACTTTGTCCTTTGGATTACCTACGATTGAGTTATGTTAATAACATCGGATTAATATTAAAATTGAGAAAGTTTGTATGTTGTGTGTTTGTTTGTCACTCGTGCACGCCGTAACAACTAGGCAGATTTTGAAGAAATTTAGAACAAAGTACCAAACAACGCCAGGGTAGGTCGCTAGTATATAATAAAAACTAGAATATTGGTATTATATTTAATCTTTATGCTATTTAGCAAATAGAAAACCACAAACATGACATTATTTCAAATTAATCTACATTTTAAATAATTTGAAGAGGATACTTGTAAACTAAAGGATACCCACAGGAGTTTCCATAAATTGGTAACTGTTGATCGCTATTCTTGTCTCTTTCTTCTAGATTCTGCTTTAATCTCGTCAATTGTTTGTCTTTGGCCTCTAACTCTTCTTTCAACCTCTGTACCTACAATTTCAAAATAAATATATACATATCTATACTAATATTATAGAGGAAAGATTTGATTTTTTGTTTGTTTGTTTATTAGTAATAGGCTTCGAAACTACTGAATCAATTTAAATGAAAAGTTTTTATCGCAGAATTCATCCCTTAAGGGGGTGAAAATGGGGATGAAATTTTGTATAGGGAATCAACCCAGGGACCATATAATCGCTATTTAGTGATAATAAGTATGTAGTAATAATAGTATGTATAATATATTTCATACTTGAAAAAAAAAACGTGAAAGAAGAAGAAAATTAAGTTGAGTCAATTTAGATCTATTACACCATTAAGAGTATTTGTGTATAGACCTGAATCTGGGATAGCCTAAGTAGGGTAATTTTCTCATTAAGAGAAGTACTGTCTAACGAGATAAAAAGATAAAATGGTCTTCTTATAATCTACAGGTATGTATGCATGCTATTTTTAAAATAGATAAACATCCATATACGAGAATGCAAAAGTTAATTAAAGGAAAAAATGCATTTTATATGGGAAGGAAAGTTCTTATAGGAGTTTATCATATAAGTGTCGACATAAATGTAACTGAAACGTGATATGCAGGACTGTGTTGATACTTTATATTTTACAAATTTTAGAGTTTATTTTAATATCAGAGTATGATATAATAGTTGTACTAAGTAATTAAATTCAAATAATGGCAGAAATAAATAGATAATTTCCGGGTTGATTAAATTATGTCTATACAATGTACAATTTTCATCAAGATTGAAAGTTGCATTAATTCATGTTTAGATGAATACACCTTGAGCTATTATTCTATAGAAGATTATTACAAGGGTATTGACCTTAATTGGTCAATCGTAGGTAGCCAACGTTAGACTTCAAATATTATATGAATCAACATTTATTTTGTAACGATTAATAATCCCATTATTCGATGAAGGAAAACATCGCGAGGAAACCTGCATGTCTGAGAAAACCTAATAAGTTTTCGAAAAAAAGTTCGTCAACTCGCACTCGGCCAGCGTGGTGGACTATGGCCTGATCCCCCTCGCACTGAGAGAGGCCCGTGCCCAGCAGTGGGACGTTAAAACGGGCTGAATACATACATACATTTGTATAATCTAGTATTTTTAGCATTAATATTTAAATAGTGCGTACCTCCGCGTGCGCGTCGTGCAGACGCACGCCGAGGTCGCTGGCGGCGGCGTGCGCCAGCGCGTGCGCGTCGTTGCGCTGGCGCTGCAGGCGCGCCGCCAGCGACGAGATGCGCAGCGCCTGCTCCGACATGCGCGCCTGCAGCACGTCGCGCTCCGCGCGCACCTCCTGCGCGCAGGGGACCACACATTACACATATAACCCTTAACATAAGATACCATCTGTATATAGTATAAAACAAAGTCACTGTCTAATTCTATTTCTTCGCTTACTTCTTCTAAGCCACGCGACGGATTTTGATACGGTTTTCACTAATAAAAATAGCGATAATCGAGGAAGGTTTCTGTATATAATTTGTAATATTTTGTACAAACTGGAGCCTAGACGGTATTTTGTCAAAAAAAACTGTTTTTTATCGATTACATGGCTAACTGCTAAATCTTTAGAGACCCATAAAAACAATGTAATATAAAATTGTAGGTCTTAAAAAGATCAAAATATAGTGTGTGGCACTGGGGTGTTTTTGATACCCGATATTAATTCAGGTTTAACTGTCGCCAATAATGTGAATATTTTTCTTACCTATTTATTAAAATAATCCTATAATATTATTTAAAAAATGTAAATCATCTAAACATAATATAATAAAATTGTAACTAAGCCGAATATGTACATTAAATATTTTTTGGAAAATCTCATTGAAATAAACATTATTATCGATACAGAGACCGAATTTATAGTTTTTAGAATTTTTGTCTGTCTGTCTGTGTGTCTGTTACCACATCACAGAAAAACCACTGGAGGGATTTTGATGAAATTTGGCATGGTGATAGCTGGTTATCCGGGTCAACATATAGGATACTCTTTACCGCGAGAAAATACCTCATTATTGAGAAAAAATACAAACACTGCAATGTAAGAGTATACTAATATGTAAAACTTAACAATTTGGTTTTTGGTCACCTGAACGTGGGCGGAGCCACGGGAAATGCTAATATTAAATAGATTCATAGTTTGTTTTCGGCGACATGTACATTTTTAATAACGTAGTACATAATGAGAAAGACATTATTTAAACTTAAAAAATAAATGAACTTTATGCTTTGAGTATGTTGCAAGTTAAACACGACTTCCATTGTAATAAATTATAAATACAACAATGTCATGACAGGAAAAATGAGGTTAATAATTATATTCATAAATGTTTACAACAAGTGTAGTTTTCTCTTGACTCAAAGGTGTGTTAGTTCGGCACATAAATAAACATAGTAGGCACTAACAAAAAGTATAAATAAAAAAAAACAAACAAAGTATGGTAAACACTCTTTACTTGATACTATAAAATTGTCTTATAAATTCTACAACAATAATATTTTAAGCTTAAAAATAAGCTTTCGGAACTGACAAATATTTACATACTTACATACAGTTGAACACAGAAACATACAGTTTATCCTGCAATCACACGCTTAGAGCACTTCTACGAGTACACTGACACCTTAACATGATCTTTTTGATGTTGGAAAAGCAGTTTTTCCACTCAGTCAAAGGAACAAGTAGTAAACCGTACTGCGCGTAACCGGCTCGGTTAGCTGGTCTAAATATATATCGCCCCAGTTTCCCGAGGAAAACTCTGCTAAGACCATTGGATCAACGTTTCTAAAATGATTTATGAAGTGCAGCCAATGTACTAAATCCTTAATGGCAGTATAGAAATCAAATACGACTAAGTCCTTTTGTTCTACAGAATTGTTACAAAATCTTTCTTTCAAGTAAAATATTCAAATAATTTTGAGGCAAGAAAGAGATAGAGCAAAGTAAAGAAATATGTATAGCAAAAAATCCTTTATTTGACGGCGACATTCACACATTAACATTAAGAAATTGGAAATTAGTCAGCTTTTGTGTTGTGGCTATTTCAATCTTTAGCGCCGTGGAGTAAACAATGGCGTTGCCAAGTGCAAATATAAGATATTACGGCAGTACAAACTATAACGTACATAGTATACATGACGTACAACGAGTATTTTACGAGTAACAAGCTTACAATAGAGAGCTATATTGTACTTGGGTCCGTTTGTGTAGCAATGCTCCTTTTATTAAAGCAGATGTTGCCAATAAATATGAGGTCAGCCAAGGTTGGTCAGTGTACAATGATCTATACATATAATAAAATTGTAACTGATCGCTGTCTGTACATGGAAAATATTTGAGAACCCAAAACAATGATTTTTAGAATTTTTATCTGTGCGTTTGTACGTGCTAATCTTAGAAACGGCTTAACCAATTTAGGTGTGACTTTCACTTATGTATCGTGGTAATCTTCACTTAACATTTAGTATTTGTTTTATTTCCATCAGTTCATAAATAAAAAAGTTATGTTAATTTTAAAGAATCATCCAGGGACGAACCCGAGCGAACCGAGGCTGAGTCGCTAGTATATAATATATCGAAACATATGTACGAATAATTATAAAAACTATGACGTTGTCGTCAAAAAATGAAATGCTGTTATTTACTACAACAAACGATTTCTTTAACGTCCAGATATATCGTAAGAGCAAAATGTTATACATATAATAATTACATTGCCTTAATATCATAAACAATGTTTTGAATATTTCTACACGAATAACTAATTTCTAGGAATTCTATTTAAATATGTATAGCGAATTTTAAGTGTGGGTGTGGACGGTGAAATACGAAACTATAGGAAATAGAAAAAGCACGCAAAGGAGTCACTGGGCCTATTTTGATAAACTAAAACAGCTTCAATAGATTTATATACGCACGTTAGAACTAAACTATGCATATATTATAACTCTACACAAGTAATACCCAACCCTATTGAATTTATTTAAATTATAAGAAATATTACATTAAAATTCCCTTAATTGTGTATATAGTTCATTTAACTTCCGTTGATAATATGAGGAATATGTCAGCTCAATTTCGCACAATATCCTTACAAGTACCAACATTATTAGGATATTGTAAAATATTTTTAATATTATTTTAAATATACTAAATATTAAATGAGGATAAATGCTTAAAAACAGGTACCTATATGAAATAGTATAAATTACTTTTTTAAAGTTACGAAATAAGAACAAAAATCTATCAACTAATAGCATCACAAACAATAAGTTTGTTGTTGCTATTTGTTTTGCATCTATGTTATGTTATATAACGTAAAATAAGATGCTACATACTTTGAATGAAAATCAAAGAATTTTCATATTCTAGGGCCAAAATAATTTGGAAAAAGCTATAATTATTGGTAAAAGCTTACGAGCTTCTATCACTGTCATGTATTCTGTAAGCGTTCTCGCTAAACATTAGCGTGAGCAAGGCCACGGATAAACATTGTGTTGTTGTAACAATGTAAACGTAAAATGTAAATAAAGCTTCGTTACTATTATAGACTTTAAACTTTTCGTCTATTTGGCAAACTACTAATTGTATTTTACTTATTGTCAAGTAAAACATAAAGGAAATTGCATTTACACACGTTATTTTACTATATTTATAACGAATTCAAAATTTAAATACAAATTAGTTATTTAGAAGCTAATTGATTAAGCATATAGTTTGGTAATTTGGACCTATTTTCATCAAACGCTAAGAAATGTTAAATATTCGCGTAAATCTAGGAAAGTATTACGATATACTAATTTTTAAAGAAAAAAAAAATACGTTAGTCTATCCTTGATAATAATAATTTGTCTAAAGCCTAACCTTAAAAATTTAAAAAAAAAGAACGTCAGTCCCACTCACCGTCAAATCCGGCAGACCCATAGCGAAATATGTCCTAAAGTGACTCCACGAAAACATCACTCACATTCGTGAGCTAGGCCTACATCACACCCACACTAATTACGATTCATTGCGAGACATTACGGTTACATTGTGAACGTTACGGCGAATGTGGCGGCGGTGTGAGGGCGGCGGGAGGCTTTGGGTAACAACCTTCTTGCAGCAAAACACGCTGTGGAACATCGGAGCAGACTGAAAGCCGCGCCACAGCTGGGCGGCGTGTGAACATCGCAATGGATGCGTGAAACTTGGACGCGGTACTTTTTTAATATGTAATATTAAAGTTTGGGCAATATTATACACTAATTCTTTGAGTAATTATTTATGTAGTATTATATTTATTTAATATATAAAAGATATTTATTATAAATGAACATTTTATTTGCAAAATAATAATTTACTTTAAAAAAATTAGCATAAATTATGAAAATATCAATCATATAACAAGTCAAAATGTATTTTCCGCAAACAAAAATAAACCGTTCCACTTCCTGGCATATAACAGCGCACTAAACAATTTATTTCACGATCAATGTTAGATTTTCCTTGAAATATTCTTATAAATTACAAACCTCCTCCATAAATTCCCGCTCCGTGCGACAATTTTATATATTTAGCTTTCGTTCACATACATTTTTCATATTACGCTTGTGTGGGAGCGTGCACGTGTGCGTGGCGCAATGACAAGCAGGGCTGACGGCTATTTCGGCGCACGCGCAGTTTATCTTCCAACTTTTGTTATGGGAAGTTAAACATGTTTACGTCTCTTTTACGATAGCATTTTGTGCATACTTATTGCTTTCGTGTTAAATTCGACCCTAAACGAGTTTCAACATCTGTGTACAAAAATAACGCAAGCAACAACAATATAAATGCGAAAGTTCGTGAACGACATATTAAGTCTTCACGTAGTTTGGTATAGATCATGTCCTGGATCAAAAGTAAGCCATGTCGAGCAGATAATTTATTTATTTTTGAAGGAAAATAAATATTGTATTGTAACTAAACCGTTTGATAACTAGCTCAAGCAACCCTAGAGTTGCTTTCAATAAAGCACGTAATAAAAACTAGTGCGCGAGAGTGCATTAGGGTCGACTAAATGTTCCGATGGTGCGAGTGATTCACCGCACTCCGCCGCTATCAAGATCACGACCGTAGATAGACACATCCGTGTACTAAATGTAAGTTCACGGCGAAAGTGTTATTTATATTTTAATAGTCAAAACTCTTTACTTCCGAATAAAAGTGGTTAATTATATCTACAAGACACGAGTGCGATATGATAGTGCTTTATTTTAGTTATAAATAGACTCATTGAACGAAATGCGCTGCGTTGTGTGAGAAAGAGAACGACTAATCTATGTATACAGATAAAAAAATTGAAGTGTATGTTTGTAATATCAAAATAACAGCTTTTTACTGAATATGCATATGTCATTACTACTCGTTGGGTACTATTGTTAGGTACTTATAAGAAAAACACAACTTTTAGAATTTGTCTGTCCGTCTGTTTGTTACGGCTAATCTCCGAAACGGCTAGACAGATTTTAACGGGACTTTCACTAGCAGATAGCTGATGTTATAAGTAGTAACTTAGAATACTTTTATTTCACAAAAAAATAGGGTTCCGCTCAAAAAATATATAACGTTCCTAAGGCCGCACCCGAGCGAAGCGAAGGGAAGTCGCTAGTAGTAAATAGATCTAGTAGATCACTTATCCAAATAACAAAATTTAAGTTTATATATTATTATGCTTATGAATCTATTCGATATGGTAATCTATACTAATATTATAAAGAGGTAAAGTTTGTGAGTTTGAGATGTTGAAGGCGGTAATCCAGAGATTACCGCCTTCAACCAGATCCAGAGATCTACTGAACTGATTTAGATGAAATTTGGTAAGAAGATAGTTTGAGACTTTGGGAAGGTACTTTTTATCCCGGAAATCATACCTTAAAGTGGTGAAAACGGGAATGAAAGTTTGCATGGGGAACTAAACTAGAGATGAACCCGAGCGAAGAGAAGGTGAATCGCTAGTAAAATATATAAAATTATGACTCGAACACAATGATTTAGCAAAGAATACACGCGTTTGTACTATGTGTAAACGTATGTAATATGTATATAAATAATGTGTTTTAGTTTGTATAAATGAAGGAAACCGAGATCAATTTTGTTTTTGAAGTTTTAGATTAATCATAAATCGTTCGAGAGGGGCATACGAAATAATTTCATTTAAATACAATTCAAAGAGGTTCATTCGTTATATCTTTCATTAAAACGCTAACATTATAAAGAGGATGTTTACATGAACCAAAGTTTTATTTATCACTAGCATTGCCCGCGGCTCCGCACGCGTTCAAATGGCCAAAAACCAAATTCTTAGGTTTTACATATTAGTATACTCTTACATTGCAGTTTTTGTATTTTTTCTCAGAAATAAAGACATTTTCCGCGGTAAAAAGTATCCTATATGTTGACCCGGATAACCAGCTATGACCATACCAAATTTCATCAAAATCCCTCCAGTTGTTTTTCTGTGATGCGGTAACAGACAGACAGATAGACACAGACAAAAAATTTTAAAACTATAGATTCGGTCTCTGTATCGATAAAAATGTCTATTTCAATAAGATTTTCCAAAAAATATTTCATGTACAGATTCGACTCAGAATTTTATTATATGTATAGATGAAATACTTATAAACAAAAGAAAAGCCGTTTAAAATTCCCAAATAAATATCTTTTTTCGTTTTTCTTTACATTTTACATTTGAGTTTACTTTAACCTCAAAATCAAATATATCAGTGTAACAAATTTATAAGAACAGTTTTGTAACAGATGAGAGGGATGCCACACCGCCGCGAGACGTTTGAATGGATATAAAAATAATATCTTTATCATCGTCCATTTTGTAAATGACGTAACGCCAAGCCAAGTACCGTCTGAGGATCCGTGTATTTGTATGTGTGTGTATTGATTTCGGTCAGAATTTTACTAGGGCAAATAAACCAATTGTACATAACTTGTATGACTCAGTGAACGAAATATACGCATACGCACGAACGCATATATGTAAAATATATATATATATATATATATATATATATATATATATATATAAGTTAGTAGTATATATATATATATATATATATATATATATATTAAACATCAGCTTTGAAATCAAAATATAAGAAAGTAACATAATTAGTACTTAAAAATATCTGGAATAAGTTAAGCAACACTATAACCCAAAAACCTCAAGAAAGCTAATATTAACATTTCAAGTTATTTTATATCAACTATCAGTAGCAAAGCAAAACGAAAAGAGAAAGTGTATAAATGTGGAATATGCGAAGCCCTAAAGGCGCCAAACTGAACTAAACAGTAGATAGCGATGTGACGAGCCGCGGCCAATAGACGCTGGAGGCGCGCCAGCCGCCGCCGCGACGGCGCGCGCGGGCTGGAGCAGTGCGCGGTCGAGTCAAAGGTTTACAATTTTAATATTCATGTAAGCTTTTTGTTGAAATGGCAACGCTTTGAAGCCTTTAACAAGACTCAATTGATATAAAGTATTACAAATAAGGCATGGTTACTATAAAAAAAAAACGAAAACGTGTCACTCGCAAGATTAGAATCTTCTCAGTTACTTCATAGTGGTAATGTGATATATCTAATTCCAAAACATTATGCTGACTACACACGCACATACATACAAACATACGTGTGTAACACCTGCATTATATTATATAATGACTAAAACGATAATATAAAACATCGACGTTTTAAATTCATAATAAAGATAATTTATATCCTACATTACAATTTACACGTGAACATGCAATCGGGATCGAAAACTAGTTACCTATAGGCAAAAGGAAGGCTTAGCATAAAAATTATAATATATCAGTTAATACGCATAAGTAGCGCTACTCAATTTCCGCTATAACAATTATATCCGTCTGTTCGTTTTTGATGTACTTTATAACTAAAGTTAATTTTCTCTTTACGTTAAATATTGTATATATTAACGTCGTAAAACCGCAAGCTTGCCAACATTTTTGGGTGTAAAATGTTCTATTTTGGTTGTTTACGTCTTAATGAAGACATGCAATAAGGCAAGTAAAGCTAATTAATTAACAAATCCTTTGATGTTATGAAGCAGTTAAGGAATGAATAAAGTTATAAATTTGCCTTTTGACTAGATTTTGAAATTAAAAAATCTAAATAAGTTTGTAATAAAATTTTGTTTATGGTTAAAAGAAGATTAGTATTTTTTTATTTTTTTAACAAAGTATAGAGGTATATGTATGTATGTATGTATGTATGTATGTATGTATGTATGTATGTATGTATGTATGTATGTATGTATGTATGTATGTATGTATGTATAACATATACGTACTTAAAAATAGTTTAAAAATACTATGAGTTTTTTATGATTATGAGTAAATTTGTATCTGTACAATTTTAGTACAATTGGATTATCAAATCGTTATATTGTTGAATAGACGAGAGAAGGCGTGTACCCGAAAACTGTCGAACTTATTGTCATGACGACATAAAAATTTTATAACTATAAATCATAAAAGTGTTTAAACAAATATTTTTTTTTTCTTTTATGATATATATTGCATGCAATAATTACGTCATCTTTTAAAAAAATATTTAAAATATTTTTTATTTCTTTAATAGAAGAATTAAAAAGAAATCTAGTAGTAGATTATATATAGTTATTTTGCTTTATGGTTATACCAGCGACATGCCGTCGCTTCGCTCGGGTGCGTCCCTAGGTACGTTGTAAATAGATAGAAATAGTTTTTGTGAGTGTATCTTAGGAAGTACACTCATGCTATCGTGGACTTTATTTGGGCTTTTTTAAGACTTAAAGTTATAAAACTTCCCAGTTCAACATCAGCGCCGCCATCGAACGAGTCTATTACATCTAACTACACACATATGTATAGGCACGCGCCGCCGTCGCTCGGGCACGGTATCGCCAGTATTGTTTTTTGATCATTTTAAATCTGCGATATATGTATTTTAAAACATGAATGATAATGATTTGCTGTAAAGAACTAACTTTATCTAGATTAAATGCCCAACGTCACCGACTTATTTAATTAGATAAGGGTTAATATTATATTGGTCAAATTAACTTCGAAAGTGTAATCCACCAAAGAATAAAATTTCAATAGTAGATTATTTAGGGTTATCTGTAAGAAATAGATCTATGCCACCGCGAATTTTTTATAGACATTTTTAAGGTACATAATTTCGTAGTTTATCATTTTGATGGATATCTCGTAAAATTTAGTCAGCGTTTATTAACGCCAAAAATTATATATTTTTACAAAAATAACCATTAATTTCTTTATTCTTTAAATTATAACATGCATGTATTATACACATCATATACATACAAACCATCCGGAAGAAATTATCCGTGTGATAGCAAAAACCGCGTCAAAATCCGATGCGTAGTTTAGAAGATCTAAGCGTACATAGGGAGAGTCGGGTGCGGGTGTGGGTGTGGGTACCTGCGCGACGTCCGCGAGCTGCGCGCGCTGCATCTCCAGGTCGGCGATGCGCTTGAGCGCCGCGTCCTCCGCGCGCGCCGCCGCCGCAAGCGCGCCGCGCACGCGCGCCAGCGCCCCCTCCGCCTCGCACTCCTCCTCCGACCACGCGCTCTCCGACCCTGACCCCGAGCCCGACCCCGAGCCCGAACCGCACTGCGCCTGTATAAAGACAGAAAAATGTTTAGACTCTGTACACTATTAATGCAGTTTTCGAACAATATAAAAAATCATATAAATTCCATTAATTTTAAAGGAAAATCTATGAAATGCAAGGGTAGTTAAAATACTATTTTTATAGCTTAAAGTTAAATCGAAAAAGTGCCATATCTTATGTAGCTTACAGTTATACCCATCGAAACAAACTTTTTCCACCGCGTCCCTCCCCATACGCCCTACTCGACTGCCCTGTCTAAACGCGTGTATGAATGAGTAGATGATATATTCATGGTGCGAGTACCTCGAGGCGGCGGTCCCGCAGCGACACGTCCTCGGTGCGCTCGGAGCCGGAGGCGGAGCCGCACTCGTGCGCGCGCTCCAGGCGCCGCGCGCGCCGCGCCACGCGCCGCTCCAGCCGCAGCGCCTGCACATCGCACACGTGTTATCATGAATCATATTAAATATGTTATATACATTTTTCACGTTTTGAATGAAACTATTGTTTAGCGATTTAACTTTTATTTTGCATCCAAAAAGTTGGGAAACGGAAACCAAAGAGAGCCGCCAAAAAAAAACATTTTTATTTAAAATGTCAAATATTCGCGTAAATCAAAGAAAATATCACTTTCATGTATTTACGATTTATCATTGAAAGTATCATTTTATTTTTTTTTAACACATAAAACATTAAACTACATAAAACAATCATATTAAGAACAGAATAAAAATATCTTTTTTTTGATAACTGATTTAAATAAAACCATTCACTTGTATGTTTGTATCATAAATAATACAAAAAACAATGGGAGCCCACCTGTCGCTTGACCCTGTGGACGAGGCGCGCGTGGCGCGCGCCGGCGGCAGCGCAGCGCGCGCAGGCGGCGTCGTCGCGCTCGCTGCGCAGCGACTCCAGCTCGCCGAGCACCGCCCTCATCTTGCTGTCTCTCTCCTCTATCGTCCGCTTCATCTCCTCCAACTGCTCCAACACTTCCGCCTCTCTCGCCGTCTTCTGCTCCAGCTGAGATTCCAAATTAGCTATAATATCTCGTAGAAGAATGATCTTCTCCTCGGTGGCTTTCAACTCATTGTCGGCGGCGGCCTTGCGAGTTTCTAGTTCCGTTATTATTTGGTTCATGTCACGTGCTTGAGCCTCCAGTTGTTCCACCTGTGTTAGATTAAATATATAATTAATATGTAATAATAAATATCCTACATGTATTAATTGAGAAATGTCCTGTACAGTGACAAGATATCAGAATTTTATTTTCTAATTTTCAAGACTACTATTTACGAGTATGAAATAAATATTGTTTGCTATCTAATATTACCAAATTAAATAAAATGAGAGACAGAGAGAGAATCCAGTAGTAGTATTTTAAATGGTGTACAAAACATGGAGGTATATTAGGTAATTTGCAGGCTACCGGGATTTACTATTGTTTTCTTCATTTCTCTTAGTAAAAGTATTTATTCCTCCGTTATAAAAAGTGTTAAGTAAACCAAACACGTATTGGTATTTCGTAGCAGGAAAGTAGTGTGATTGGAGAAAGTTGAAACAACAAATTAACAATCATGGTCGCTTAGTAAAACTTGTTATATTATTGTATTTTCAGATTATTTATGTAAATTTAATAAAATCGTACAGAGAAGAGGCCTAGTTCGAACGTAAAATTTAATGTTTTTATTATTTATGTTACCGTGCTTGTAGTTTTATTTCTAGTATATACGTAACCTGTGAACTATTTTCTGAATATAAACACAATATCTCTCTTGAAAAAAAGTAAAATAATTAAAAAAATGATTAACGTGACGTAATCTACGTTACATGGATTTATTATATTATGGACTATTTAATACAATAATTATGTTTATATAAAAAATGACAGAAAGAAATCGAATTATTCATCAAAATCAATTAAAACCCTAATTAATGAGTTCGTACTCCATGTCTGAAGGTGGTGCTATTTAAATTTTTTAAGTTATTTATCTAAGTTCAAAATGTGAGTGGTTTTATCAAGGTTTCACAAAACATCTTAACACAGGTATTTTTATAAAATAGATAATTAAGTCCACACGGCGCCTTTTCTGCAAACCCATCTTCCCATCTCATCTGACGACACGTTTGGCTCAGTTTTTAGTGACCCTATTGTCTGTGCCAGCGGTCATTAACTCTATGTAGAGAACTAATTATTGAATTTTACTATCGTTTATACAAATTCTAATAACATATTTACAGGTATAATAGATAAAAAGAATTTAAATGTTCTAAAATAACTATCCTATTTTCCAATTAAAAAATATTTCTACCAAAATCACAACCAAAACCATCATACACGTCTACATGTACATTAAACACATACACATAATAATAGCTAAAATGATTTAAAAGTAAAATATAGAATACTATAGCCAATAAGAGATAAAGTGAGAGTGAAGAGCAAAGCGTGAACTTACATGTGCGTCGCGCTGGCGGCAGCGGCAGTGCGCGAGGCGCAAGCCGCGCACCTGCGCACACCACACCCGTCAACACACACGTACTAACCAATCGCTTTACATAATGTACTATTTAATTATATTTATTTAAAAGTATAGTAATATAAATTTAATTATTTCTCTTTAAAAAATACTAATTGAAGTCTTTTTTGGAGTTTATAGTTGTTGGTTTGCACGTAGTGGGTTAGTGTTAGAAAGAGATGAAAATATTAACCGTTTTGTATAGTTTTAATATATTACAGTTATTATTTCCATTTACATGTTAGTTTATTACATACAAGAAGAACATAAAGTAATTGAAAAATTGAAATTAATCGCGGCGTGAAAATTATAATAATTGTTAGTTTTCAATTAACTAATGTTAATGTACGTGTTTTTGTACAATAAACAGTGCTCATGCAAAAAATCATGTGAATATAGTGCAAATTATTGTAAATAACCAATCACATAAGACACAAAACCAATTTATATTAACAGTATAATATAAATATAAGAATCAAAATATTAAAAAAGTATTAGTAAATAAATTAAGGAATACTTAAATTAAAACATTTTTTCCATCAAATTTTACCATAAAAACAAACAAACATAAAACCATAAAAACGACTCAAACAAATCGTGACGCCTACGACGAAGACGAAGACTGAACGTGTTACCAAAAGTGTAAAAATGTGTGGAATACGATGAGTCATAATATCACAGTAGTGTCAAAGAGTGAGTGAGACCGCAAATGAGTGTATCTCTCTTTTCGCAGTACGCGTGTGTCTGAACTCTGAGCCAGTGCGTGCGTTGCTCTATCCCGCTCTACGGGCGGCGTGCGAGAGAGAGAGAGAGAGGGGGGGAGACGGACCTCCGCGAGCACGCGCGCGCCGGTGGCGAGGCGCGCGGCGAGGCGCTCGTTGTCGTCGCGCAGGTCGCGCAGGCGCGCCGCGAACTCGTCGCGCTCCGCCTCGCGCTCCGCCTCCTGCTCCTCCACGAACTTGCGCGTCGAGCGCAGCTGACGGTTCGCCGCCTCCAGCTGCATCACATACATCATTATATGCACATATATTTTAAATAGGAACTTCACTACACTACTATTGCTACATTATCAGAAAAATAAAAATTAGGAACTTCGTTTCAAAAGCTTGACACAATTAGTGTTTTGACTTATTATATAATAATCTAATGCTACTGAAATACAAAATAAAAAATTAGTTTATTCTTAATTTTTGTTAATATATGTATCTATTATCTCAAGCGATACATTAAACAAATAATAACATAAAATATAATTAATTAAAAAAAAAAACGATAAATATGTGATGTAAAAGCTCTACGGTGTACCTTCTCACAGCAAGCGCTGTGCACGGGCGAAATGATTCGCCGCTCCTGTGTCGAGCGTGTTTTAAATAATAAAACAATCAAATATCGATTTATAATAATATGATACAATTTGTAAACTACATTGCAATTAAATAAGGCAGTTTAAACATTACAAGTGACTCACGGGATTTAGTTTCATTACTTAGGACCTAAGCATATGATGAAGACGCTTATCATCGGCTTTAAAAAGAATACGTACGTTTTACGCATACATTTCCACTCAAAAATATAATATAAAACATTGCGTGTAGGACGATAATTTATATTTGTGACAAAAACGTAGAGAAGCTCACGCTGATTTTTATACATATAAACAAATATACTAAGAAATATATGCAAATAAAGTTTATTGCATTCATTAATTAATACATGGTGTGTGCGTGTGCGTGCGTACCTGCAGGCGCGCGTCGTCGCGGTCGCGCAGCGCGGCGTCCAGCTCGCGCGCCAGCGAGCCCAGCTGCGCGCGCGGCGACGCGTCGTCCAGCGAGCGGCACGCCGCCCCAGCGCCCGCGCCCGCGCCCGTGCCGTACCTGTGGATAATAATATTGTAATACATTGTTATGTATTATATAAGGTACATCTCATAAAATTTCATAAATAACTAGCAGTACCCGCGGCTTCGTCCGCGATCAAACTACTAAAAAAACTAATTCTTTACACACATACAACACACATAACACACCGACAACAATGTCACCTGCCGGGTTCAATTGTGTTTTCAAACCATTCAGGAGCCCATTGAAATATACACACAAAATTTTATCCAAATCGGTCCAGCCTTTTAGGAGTAAGGTGACAAACACGCGTACAGAAGAATTATATACATATATTAAGATATCACAACTTTATTCTTCAACATATCACACACAGTGTGTGCAAGGAACAACAAGAGAGCTCAGTAGTCAGCACACACCCCTCGGCGATGACGTCGGAGTGCGGCGCGTCGGCCAGCAGCTGCGCGATCTTCAGCGCGGCCGCCTCCAGGTCGGCGCGCAGCAGCGCCTCGCGCTCCGCGCACTCCGACAGCGCTGCCTCCGTCTTCTACAATTATAATAAATACATTTATATATTCTAAACTTTATATACATGTATACGTGTGTATAAACTACTCTCTCACCCGAAAACGGTTGGACGAATTGGGATGAAATTGAGTACACAAGAAGACTAAACCTAGACGTAGTTAGGGACTTAGGGAAGCCGCAAATCTTTACATACTATAAAGTCGATATATGTCAATGTATTTGTGAATTTTGTCATCTTAAGCCAGTTAGTAAAATTATCTTCCTAGATTTGTTTAAAACAATATTTAATACATGCATGCAATCTAATGCTAGCAAGAATTTTGTAACTATTCAATTCTTGAGAAACTTATAACATAAATAATAATAGAATTTTAAATATAATAAAAAATCACAGGAAATATATAGATAGACAAACTAATATTGATCACACATCCCGTACCGTCCTGAGCAGCTGGCAGCTGCGGCAGGCCTCCCCGAGCTCCTCCGGCGCCGGCAGCGCGTCCGAGCTCGCCTCCAGCATCCTGCACTCTTGTCGCCCTTCTGCAAGGAAACAAATATCGCTGTCATATTCATCGCATAATTATATAATATTAAGACTACCCTTAATTAATAATGTAATAAAAACAGATGTATGATTTTTAATATGTTACATTCGAGTCTGACTGTCGTTTGTTTATTCGTTTTTCAAATATTATCATGAGCAAACCAAGAATGAAATTCTGGCTCACTGGAGTCTTTATGTATATAGCATGTACGATTCACTTTAATTTCAGCACAATTACCAAACCAATTAAATACGAAACCGGTAAGTGTATGATTATGAACAGACAAAACCTACGTATCTCGGCTCTCCTGGCGGCGAGGTCGAGCAGGTCGTGCGCCTCATCCCGCAGGCGCTTGAGGGAGAGCTCGAGCTCGCGCTTGAGGTCGGCGCTGAGGTCGCGCTGCTGCTGCAGGAAGGCGAGCGCGCCCTCCGTGTCCAAGGTCGCCAATGCGCCTAACTGCGGCGCGAAGTGCACGTGCCTCACCTCGGCGTCCGCCGGGCTGCACGGCCGCGAGTCGAGCTCCAGGGATCTGGAGTACATCGTGCACGAATATGTACATCATACAATGTTTATTTGCAAATAGTTATACCGTAGTGTTAAAAATTCATATGCCCGTTAAATGCAAGGGTTTCGATAACATTCTATTTTCTTGTCGTGGTTACAATTATTACACCCGTCGACCTTGAAAAGGTCTCCCGACTGTCATATAAAAGTGAGTATGTCAATCGGGAACGCCTCATTCACATCTCACCCCTGTATCTACCCATTATTAGATATTGTCTTCGTTACATTACTGAACGAATTAATAGGCCGCGATAATATCATTAACACTATGAATTTTATAAAATAAATCATAAAATACACTTTTTAGTAAATTTTTTTATTTCAGGTAAAAATTCTAAAGCCATTATTTAGTAAAGATTATAAATATAAAATAAACGCATAGGTATGTTTACAATTTCACACTACTGCCAATAACAAGGACTTATTCCCTCGGTGCTTTCTACGTGTGAGACTAAAGGCATAAATGTGTCTGTAGGTGATATCTAAAGTTAGAACTCGCGAAGTCATATCGTATAATTTGTCTAAATGTTGGTCTTTGTGATTAACGCCCGCGGCTGGCCGCTTGCCAGCGGGCCGCCAGCCCCATGCATATAATACAGGCTTTCCTAGAAACCAGGAGAAACGTCAAGATGCAACAACTAATTTAGATTTCAATAAATCTGGACGTTCAACTAAAAACAAACCTCATATATAGACTTGTAATAAGTGCTAAGATAGCATTATATTTATTCTAAGATGTCTTCTAACTCCATATCTATATATTGTATCAACTTTATATCATTTTAACACTATCAAGTTTATGCGTTTATCTATACTAATAATATAAAGAGGAAAAATTTGTTTGTTTGTTTGTACCGAATGAGTTCCGAAACGAATGAACCGATTTAGATGAAATTTGATAAGAAGATAGTTTGAGACGCTAGGAATATCATCCCTTTATGGGGGTGAAAATGGGGATGAAAGTTTGTACGGATAAGCAACGAACCAGTGCGAAGCGAGGGTGAGTCTCTAGTGTGCTAATAATTTCATTAACAACTTCACAGGTAAATTTTTAATTATACGAAATTATGAAATTATGATTTCGTATATATAAATATAAATATGTTGGGACATTAACACAGCACCATCTAGTTCCATGGTAAGCTACGAGGCCTGTGTTATGGATACCAGATGGTTGATACACTATACATATATAACTTTTAATACATACATACTACAAAATAAACACCCATGATTGAGTACAAACATTCGTGCTTATCACACAAATGAATGCCCCCAGTGGGACTCGAACCCGCGACCACTGGCACAGCAAGTAGGGTCACTACAAACTGAACCAAACGTATCATCAAAAGATTGATTGGGTGAATTCCGCCAAGGAAACTGAACTTCTATCAATCAATAATAATCGTCAAACAAAAACACGAGTGGCGTACTGTTCGTGCGAGGCACCCAGCAGCTGCGCGAGCACGGTGTTGTTGAGCTCGTCCTCGGCGCTGGCGCAGTACGCCACCAGCTGCGCCACGGCGCGCTGCAGCGCCAGCGCCACGCGCCTGAACCCGTCCCTGTCACGTTGCTCACGATTAATGTTTAGAATAATTGACATATTAATCACTTATATTATCTATATGTATATATAAAAATCGATGTGTGTATGTTCCCTATGGACTCCAAAACAGCTGGAGAAATTTTAATGAAATTTTCAGGCTATCTTCAGATTAGCCCAGCGGGTGATGTTTTGAGGTTTGACAACTATCGGATCAATAGAATTTGTGCTACCCGTGCGAAGCCGAGGCGGGTCGCTAATTTTATCTTATAAAATCTGATAGAAATTTAACATTCTTTAAATTTGTGATTAAACAACTTTTTTGAAATATACCTATAGTAATGTCCACACGAAGTGTTTAATTTCTGTATATTATATGAGACAAAAGCTCTTGATGAATAATTGTATGTTTAAACATTAAATTACAGAGTTTTAAGGGTGGGCCTCGTCACCAAAGAAATGAGCTCATACTCAAAGACTAGTGTAGCTTTTGAAAAGCTCCACTATTCCACCTCCTAATTTCATTACCAGACAACTTACAGCTTACTATACATACTGTCATCCGAACTTTACAATACTTACAAAGTTTTAAATCGGCAATAAAAATATTAAAAATCAAAATCGTCTTCGCAAATTTGCTGATGAGTTAGACAAGTGAATTTAATAAAAGCATATCACAAAAAATGCAAAGAATTCAATTGTCATCTATACTAATACTAATTAATATTATAAAGAGGCAGAGTTTGTTTGCTTTTTTGAACGCGCTAATCTCAGTAACTACTAACCCAATTTGAAAAATTATTTTTGCATTAGATAGCCCATTAATGAGGAAGGCTATAGGCTATATATCAACCCAGAAAAATGTACGGTTCCCGTGGGTTAGATTTATTTGTGTTGTTTATATTAGGCCTACAAATGCGAAAGTGTGTATGTAATTTATCTCCATTAGATACTTTGTTCCTTCTGATAAACACTAGCGGCTAGCTCTATTTGCACCCGCGAGCCCTAAGGCGTTGTAACAAAGCTACCTAGCGCTTTGAAGATCAAAGCTCGCATACCTCTCCTTAGTGACCTCTTCGAGCTGTCTATTCTGGTCGAAGCTGCAGTTGCGCCGCTGCCGCCACTTGTCCGCGTCGCCCGCCGGCACGTCGTCTCGGACGCTCTGTGTACAATCATTTACTATTATTTTAAACACCTTTTTGTATAGAAAATACATAGTAAATACAGTACTTTTATGTTAAGATTTATTTATATTTTAAGCCCATTATAAAATATCATAGATGATCATAATTGCTTGTTTTAAACCAATGCAGTTAATTAATAGTATATTTCTGAATGCTCTGGAATCTTTATTAGATCTAATATCATAAATGTAAGAACTAAAAATGAACAAAAATTATTACGATATTTTTAACTAATTAAAAAAAATATCTTATGCTTTTACAAAACTTACATGAAAACACTGTTTATTATTATATTTTTCATTTTATAACAATAAAAATCAATAATAGCGTTCATATGGTAATATATTACAATTATAAATAAAAATACAAAAAAAACACAACCAAAACGTACCAAAAACTTCCTCAGCATAACCATGTCGCTATTTTTACATCTTGGATACAAAATAATTATGCACTTCAACACTTCTTTTTTATCACTTTAGCACTCTCTATAATATAATGTACGTCAAGCAAATCATTTTTTTAATACAAAAATATATTATTTACTGATTAAAAGCCAAAAAGTTAACATAAAGATGAGATAAAACACAACTAAGTAGATACAAATTACAAAGAAATTTTAAGTATTTTATATTTTATTATAATATCTATTTGATAATCATAAATAATTAACACAAGTGGATATAATCAAAATGGAAGACATCAAAACCTGTTATTTCCACCTGAATAGAATAAGTTATACCTCTTTTATACATATAATAAAATTGTAACTAAGTCGAATCTGTACATTAAATATTTTTTGGAAAATCTAATTGAAATAGACATTATTATCGATACAGAGGCCGAATCTATAGTTTTTAGAATTTTTGTCTGTCTGTCTGTCTGTCTGTTTGTTACCGCATCACGAGAAAATCACTGAACAGATTTTGATCAAATTTGGTATGATGATAGCTGGTTATCCGGGTCAACATATAAGATACTTTTTAACCTGGGAAAATATCTCATTTCTGTATACTGATTTGTAAAACCTAAGAATTTGGTTTTTGGTCATCTAAACGCGGGCGGAGCCGCGGACAATGTTAGTACATTATATAAACGTTATCTTTATTAAATTCCTTTTTCTTTAACTTAGCGATGAATTATTAACAAAGTTATTTTTACATCATAGTATGTAAGTATATATCTTTATCGTTAATAGTTTTAATTTCATGGGTGTTGATAAACTAAAAATACTGTAGTGTCAAGGTCAAGTGCTTTTAATCAACGTGAAGAACACTCACGTCCTGTTGAGCTTTGTAATGAAAAGATCTGTGCAGCTTTATTTGAAAGCTTACTTTTTGAAATCGTATTTAAATTGTAATTATAAAGATTTAATAGTATCGTATGTATAGTAAATAATTAATATTTATTATTTATATGATATATTACTAGGATAAGTAAGTTTTCATCGATCTGTTAAGATTGACAAAAAAGCTTGACTAACAGGCGAGCTTTTATATCATCTTTATCATTATACCTAATTGTTAGATTAGGACCTATTTTCAAATTTTATTTATCTGTTAGTTTTTGTAGAATTTCTATATTTTAGAATATTATCCGTATAATTTACAAGTACTTCAAACGCCAATATCAATATAAATACATATTTTAAATGTAACTCATAATATAAATAAAAATTAAATAAGTAATATAACTTTATTCCCTAAGAATTATAGGATCACTTTTGGATACACTGCACATTGCACAAACGTATGAAATGGCTTATAATAATTACATATTATGAAACAAAAATGTCACAGCGACTACATGACGACGATAATAAACCACAACAGGAAAATTACTGCATAACTAATTAGTTAGCAATAGAAACAACTGCAAATAAATATAATAATTAATAACTAAACTTCGAAGTACATCTTTTGTTTATCTATACTAATATTATAAAAAGGTAAAGTTTGTGAGTTTGTTGTAGGGGGTAATCTCTGGATCTACTGAACCGATTTAGATGAAATTTAGTAAGAAGATAGTTTGAGATCCTGGGAACGACATAGGATCTTTAGGATCTTAGAACAAAAGGGTTTTATCCCGGAAATCATCTGTTAAAGGGAGGAAAATGGGGATGAAAGTTTGTATTGGGAATCAAAATCGAGGGTGACTCGCTAGTTTATACATATAGTAACGATTAGTACACTAATCTTGCACTTCTTATTAATACATAGAAAAAATTTACTTATTTGTTAAACTGATTTTATTTCTTTAACATAATCTATAACTGCTTACCAAGCCGGTGGTAGCTTCCTCACGGACAAACTACACTAACGCTTACATTAAATTGACGATTCAAAAGCACTAATAAGAAGTCTAATTTAAATTATTATAGTACGGCTGTTTGAGTAATACCTATGTATTAGCATGTTTTAGACATATCACGCCTCATATGTAAAATTGTGCCAAAAATGAATATAATAATTTTAAAATCTCAACTGTTATTAAAATTATAATATGGAATTAGAAAACTTACCGAAGCAATATTGTTCAATCTAAGTTAGAATAACAAATCGACTTATAGCACCATAACAATATTAACATGTTACTGACATGTCATGTACATATACGATAAAGGAGAGAGAGAAGAGGGTAGTTATAAATTTTTTAACTTGGTCTTAGTTTACTTTCCGTAACCTAAAAGTCGAAAAGGAAAAGAAGTCATTTATTTATTTATACAACTTATCCTCTAATATATTGTTGTATTACATTAATTGTTTGGTAAAATGGCCCGAAGCTCCGTTGCAACTAGGTCGGCTACATTTATAATATACGATGTGGTTTACACACAATCTACTAAATAAAGTATTTTATGATGGAAGTCTACTGAGTTATCGCTCTTCGAATCAGATCTTTCCTTCTTACGAGAATTACTTTAAATAAAAAAAGCCGACTGCGTAAAAAACCCACTAAAACATGAAAACAAGTTGAAAAAATTTTTATAAAAACTATTGTCCATCAATTTTCTCTTAGATAAATTAAGCTTTACTTTAAAAAGAATTGGTTAACAGTTATAAATAGTGCTCAGTATATATTTTGTAAACTTTCGTAACACTAATGCCCGATTTCACCAACGTCACCGAAGTTTATTATATATATGTTGGGAAATGCAATTACGCACGACGTGTGGGACTCACCGGCGTAATACAGCCAGTACTACCCACTAAAACCCAACAAAACCTTCCCCCGTCTTAATGGGGCGTCGCAGGATCGCTTACGCATTCAACTACGACGCCCCGACGGCAGGTCTGCCGAAGCAGACCACAACAACCACGGGGTTGCTCCACAGTCCACTCTGCTATCAGAGAAGTACCAGGAGCAACCCGCATGGTACACTGCCCTCCGAAGAGGGCCACCTCCCACCGCCCACCGAAGTGGGCCACCTCCCTGTGCGTTTCTTGGCTTCGCGCCCGGTTGGGTTGCCGGGCACTACTGAGCCCCCCCACCACGACAAGGTGAACGCACGTTGGGGGGAACCTAACCTAACTAAATTTAGGTGCTCGAAATATGGGCTTAAAGACGATCGTAAAACGAAATTTAATTTAGGGGGCTAGTTTAGGGGACTTTTAAGCTAGGGATCTCATACGTAGGTGGTAGCTTATGGGTTGTTGGTGAAATCGGGCATAAGTATCGAAAACTAACTTTGCGTATCAAAACAAAAGCACTTCTTGCGAAACCCCAATAAATTACAAAGCATCGTTTCCTTATACTTTCCACACTTCAAATAGAAAGAATGGAAACTAAACAATACGAACAAGTAGCAAAATAAATCCAGCTGCGTTCAAAAATAAAGGCTGGGAAAAAACCAAACAACCATGTGTGGCCCGATCGTGCATGTAGAAACTGTGCCAACACAGCCATTACTTTATCCTTAAGCTAATTAAGTACTTATTACTGTCCCAATAAAGAATACATTCCCATAATACAATTCCATAAAGGATACAAAATAACAATGTCTAAGCAGAACTACTATAAAAGCTTTCTTTACATGGAGGTAATAAGCTTAAAAGTTAAAAAAGTTTATTTTATATGGATAGCTTAATTTTGAATTAAATAGTCATTGTGATACCTTTTGCACAACTATTTTCGATCTAACTTAACAGATCTAACCAATTTGTTTTAAATATAAACTTAAGTTATAAATAATATTTTGTGAGGCTTATAGTATATGTGTATTAAAATGAAATTTAGGTAATTTTCATTCAAACAAGAATTTAATTACGTATTTTCTGCTATTATAAAATCTATGAAAATAACATATACATATGTATGTAATACAGACTGCAAACCAACCCCTTGTAGCAGTAATAAGAGACTCGGTTTCTAATTTTCAATACATTGTAGCCCTAACAATAATGCTATAATGAAATACATTCAAATTCTGGGTATACGAAGTGCTTGAGTTTAAGTTATATTTCTGAAATCCTAAGGGTTGTTTTCGAGTGACAATGTCACAAACAAATACTACAGAGGTGGAGTGACGATGGCTATATCACAGTTTTGTTTAGATATAAGGAAAACATGTAAATATTTTTAGAGAAACAATAAAGAATTCTTTCAGGTTGAAAGATCAACAGCATCTGTCGATGAACGTGAGATGCATCTTACATATTGGTATTATGCATATAAATAAATCTATCGGATGCTGAGTTTTAAATATTATTTTATAATAAATAAATAAAAGTAGCAAGTTCTATTTAAATTTTACATTACAATAAAGACAATTCGTGTCTTCTTCTTCCATGTATATATTCTTGTACATAACTTCTAGTTTTAATGATTTCAAGTTTAAACAAACAAATATTATCTTGACAATACTAAGTATATAAGCCGATGTTAAAATAAAAAAAAACATACTTTATATTAACAAAAATAAGTAAACAACAACAAAGTCACGTGTTTGATTATTCGCTGTTAGAAATCCAATTGGAAC